TGTTTTCATGATACAAACATATCCTCAAAGACACAATACCTTGTGCCACGGCGAAGGGTATACAAAAATACCACTTGTATTTATCGCCTACCTTAAAAATTATAATCAGATCAATTGGAATTTCAACAAAAAGTACCCATTCGAAAAAAGTACCTATACATACTACAGTACTAATAGAGGTCATTTGTTTGGGTACACTGATAATGAGGGTATATAAACAATCCTTATCACTTTAACTTGACGTAATCGAATCTATGCGAATGAGTGCCAATTGATTATATTTTAATGAACTCTGTCAATAAACAATCACCGGTGTCAGTGCAAAAAGTAATAAACCACTTGAAAATCGGTCAAGATGTGCACGTCGAATGGGAATGGAAAAAAATTAGGTATTGAAGATTTATTTTCTTTTAAACAGTTTTTTAAGTTCGGCCGGGTCGAATTTTTTACACCCTTCGCCAAATCTACTACCATCAAAATCCCCCAAACAGCTATTTTTTTAGAAGAGTTTTCCCAAATTCTGTATTGAAGTCGGGGTCGAATGCTTCAAAATACCGATAACACTGTGATACAGAGTACAGGGTGTGATGAAAAAACTGCAACCAACTTGAGACTGCTGTCATTTCTAAGTCACTCGTCCGACAGCTGTTAAAATTATTCCAGTGGCAGCTCATTATATTGTTTACAAGCGTACAAGTGCATTTTGGTGATAATTTTTCAGGAAAAAAAGTTATTCGTGATGGAATTCAAGCGTGATAGTGTGATTTCTTTATATTTGGCTGGAAAACCACAAGTGGCTATCGTTAGAGCACTCCAGTATTTAAATGTGAATAAATCTTTTGTGTCTCGTACCATCGCTCGTTACCGTGATACTGGTAGCGTAGCCCGATGTCAAGAAAGTGGACGGAAGAAAACAGCAACACCAGCAGAAATGGTTCGAAAGGTAAAGAAGCGACTTGATCGAAAACCGCGACGCAGTGGCGAAAAATGGCTCGTGAGCTAAACATATCGCAATATTCCACCATTCGAAAAGAATTTAAAAATGAGCTCGGAGTAAAGCCATTGAAATTCCAAAAAGTGCAAGAACTTACACCGCAACAGAAAGAAAATAGACTCAAAAGAGCTAAAGAGTTACTTCGCTTGACCGAAAGTGGTGAACTGCCGCGTTTGATTTTCTCCGAAGAGAAAACATTCGTTGTTCAGCAGTTTGTAAACAAACAAAATGCTCGTGTTTACCTGCCAAAGAGGTCAGCTGAAAATGTGCACCTTCGGTTGGCCACCAGAACTCAATCGCCGGCCATGGTGATGGTGTAGACCTCCATAACAGCCGATGGTCGCTCTCCGCTCGTATTAATAGACCGTGGCATCAGAATAAATGCCGAATATTATCGCGAAAATATTCTGGAGGGTGTATTAAAGCCTTGGGCACGCAAACATTTTGGCCGCAGACCTTGGACATTTCAACAGGACTCAGCACCATTGCACTCAGCACGCGCCACCCAAGAATTGATACAAAATGAGGTTCCTCGCTTCATTTCCAACGCACAATGGCCACCAAAATCTCAGGATACCAATCCATTGGACTATTGTGTCTGGAGTATTTTGAAAAGCAAGGTTGGCACTAAAAAATACCAAAGTGGGCACCTCAAGGAAGCGCTTCGCCGGGAATGGGCCAAAATACCGCATATCAACATTCGGGCACGAAATATAGCCTTCATTGCCTTTTGAAGGCCATATTTCGTGCCAAAGGTTACCAATTCGAACAAATCTAAACTTATTCTAAAATTCGCTGCTATTTCCGACATTTTTTGCTTTCATTCAATTAAAAAAAATGTAAAAATTATGACGTTTGACTTCGTTGCAGTTGTTTATGTATTTGGATGTGTGAAATTTGAAGAGTTTTTTTAAATCTTGAACCCTATGTGGGAGAGGTATCAGAAGAAATGGTCCGATTTCTACTATCTTAATAAAAGATCTTGTTTTGATTGAAATCCTGAGATGTACAAAGTCTGAATGGATATTAATTTCCCGTCTTATGAGTTTCATGGATACTCAAAAAGTTGACCCTTTGTAATAGAGGTACCTGAAGGAGCTGCCCGATATATCCCTTTTTCACAGCAGACCTTGGGTTAATAAAAATATTGTGATGTGTGTAATTTGAAGAGAACGGAATGCTTGATTCGGATTTTATGGTAGTTTTTGTTATTCAAAACGTTGACCCTTTGTGGGGGAGGTACCAGAAGCAATGGTCCGATTTCTATCATCTTAATAAAAGATCTTGTGTTTATGGAAATATTGAGATGTGCCAAGTCTGAATGGAATCGAATGTTAATTTCGTGTTTTATGATCTTCATGAATATTCAAAATGTTAACCCTTGTAGGGGAAGTACCAGAAGGAGTCGACCGATATATTCCATCTTCAATATAATAATAATAAGTAATAAAAATATTGTAATGTGTGAAATTTGAAGAAAACCGGATGCTTATTTTGGATTTTATGATCGTTTTTGTTATTCAAAACTTTGACCCTTTGTGGGGGAGGTACCAGAAGGAATGGTCCGATATCTACCATCTTTATAACAGATCTTGTGTTGATGAAAAATTGTCGTGCTTTATGAGCTTCATGAATATTCAAAATGTTGACCCTTTATGGGGGAGGTACCAGAAGGAGTGGACCGATATATTCCATCTTCACACTGGACCTTGGATTAATAAAAATATTATGATGTGTATAATTTGAAGACAATCGGACACTTGCATTACATTTTATAGGAGTTATAATTGATGGAGTGGACCGTTATTGTGCATTTTCGCACCTGACTTATTACTGATGCAATTATTAGGATTCGCAAAGATGGAGCAAAGTCGGATTATCCTTTCTTTTTATATGCAGCAAAATATATTCTTTGAAAATGTTGACATTTTGTGTGGGAGGTACCAGAAGGAGTGTACCAATATTGCCCTTCTCTGAACTCGATCCAAGTCTGACAATAATATTACGATGTACTAAGTTTGGATCAAATCGAATACTCCCTTCGAGTGTTCTCAATGGAACAAACTTGGCATGGAATAACTCTTATATCAAGTTTATAATGATATTCAAACGCGATCAAATAAATTGTTATTATATCATTTCAAAATGATCAAACATTTCGATTAAATATGCCCCCTTAAGAAACAAATTCTAATGAACAAGAGCTAATTATTTCAGTTGGAAACGGGTTTGTTACGACCTACATATATTTAGAAGCACTTGGAGCAAATCTTAATAAGTATTAAATTTAAAAATTATTATACATATGTATGCGTAGACATATATCTACAAAAGCTCACGCAATTCACACAAAAAAAAAAATTATACCACCTATCTCAAATGTTTTGGCAAACAAACAATCTGAAAAGTGCAATAAAATAAATTAGGCGTCCGACCGACCTACTAAATTCAAACAATTGTTATGGTAGTCGTCAGCGCACCTGAAGTGTACATACAAAACTGTTGATAAGATTATCAAAACACATAATGAAACTAATAAATAATAACAAGTAAAAAAGCTGCCAAGTTCGGCCGGGTCGAACTTTTAATACCTTCCACCACTTGGAAGGAACTTGAAAATTTTCAAAAAAAAAAAAATCCGTCGAAAAATATCGCTCAAATGAAACGTCATAGGCTGTAGTAACGATTCCGAACTTCAAATATGAAATTCGAAACAATTCCGATAAATAATGTCGCTAATATCATCAAAATACCGAATATAGGGAGGTAACATTATATGGGGACTATACGAAGACGTGGACCCACACAGACAATTTTCTGTCTTAGGCTGTGTTTACAATTCCGAACTTCAAATATGAAATTCGAAACAATTCCGGTGAATAATGTCGCTTAAATCATCAATATACCGAATATCGGGAGGTACCGTTATACGGGGCTATACTAAGACGGGGACCTACATAGACAATTTTCCGTCATAGGTTGTAGTACCTATACGAACCTCAAACACGAAATTTGACGCAATTCCGGTGAATAATGTCGCTTAAATCCGCAAAATGCCGAATTTTTGGAGCTAACGTTATATGGCGGCTATATGAAGACGGGGACCTGCATAGACAATTTGTCGTCATATGTTTTAGTACCCATTACGAACTTCAAATACGGAATTTGACACAATTCAGGTGAATAATGTCGCGAAAATCCTGGAAATACCGAATACCTCGAGGTAGCGTTATAGGGGTGCTATACTATTTCAAGGGGGTTAATTACTCAGAGGAAACTCCCTGAGTGGTTTTCAGACTTATCCATTGAAAAATGTGGCTAAAATCATTAAAATACCAAATATCGGGAGGCATCATTGTATGAGGGCTATACGATATCGAGAAGCTATATAGGCAATTCTCTTTCAGGGGGTAACGTACTCACAGAGAACTTCTTGAGTAGAATTTCAAACCATTCCATTAAAAAGTGTGGTTAAAATCATCAAAATACCCAATATAGAGGGGCACCGTTGTCTGGGGGCTATGCGATATCGTGGACCTATATAGACTATTCTCTTTCAAGGGGTAAAGTACTCACAGAGAACTCATTGTGTAGAATTGCAGATCATTCCATTAAAAATTGTGGCTAAAAGCATCAAAATACCGAATATGGGGGCTATACGATATCATGGACCGATATAGCCCATCTTCGAACTTGACCTGCCTGCAGACAAAAGACAGATCGGTGCAAAATTTTAGCTTCCTATCTTTATTCGTTTTGACTCTAGCGTGATTACAACAGACGAACAGACGGACGGACGGACACAGCTAAATCGTCTTCGAATTTTACGCTGATCAAGAATATATATACTTTGTTAGGTCTGAAATTATTATTTCGATGAGTTACACACGGAATGACGAACTTAATGTACCCTATGTATGGTGGAGGATATAATAAAAATTCACATATGTTTGTTTCGATCTACTTATCTCTACTATTTTTTTTTTTTTTTTGTTATTTTTTATAGGTGGTGGTATCGCATCCCGTAAATCCTCCCTATTATGTGCCATTGGTTGAAATCGTGCCAGCACCATGGACCAAACCCGAAGTGGTGACCAAGACCAGGGCTCTCATGGAAGAGATTGGCCAAAAGCCTGTTACACTGTCACGTGAAATTGAAGGTTTCGCCCTGAATCGCATCCAGTATGCCATTCTCAACGAATGCTGGCGTCTCGTTGAGGCGGGCATTGTCAATGTCCGGGATGTGGACAGTGTTATGTCGGATGGTCTGGGTATGCGTTATGCCTTTTTGGGTCCACTTGAAACTGCCCATTTGAATGCCGAGGGTATGCGTAACTATTATGAGCGTTATACCAACACCATTTATGCTGTGAGTCAAACCATGGGACCCACACCGAAAATGGAGGGACCCACTGCGGAAGTTGGTATGGAAGTTGGAGTTTTATTTTGGAGTTTTTGTTTTAATAATTTCATTTGGTTTTTAATTTTTCCAGTGGCCGACCAGTTGGAGGAAATGGTACCCTTGGATAAATTGGTTGAACGCCGTCAATATCGTGATAATTGTTTGACACAATTGAGTATTTTGAAAAATAAATTGAACAAGTGATTCCTGTAAATATATTAATATTTAATTTCATTAAATGAAATGTCTTAGATTTTTTATAAAATAAATATTATTTGTAGATTTTAAAACTATTTCCGAAATGTATATTCTATTAATTTTTGGCGTATAATACTAAAAGGTCAACTGATTTCGCTTTTTAATAACCCGAGGAGACATTAAACAAAATCTTGTCTTTGGTGACTGGTTTTGTTCCCTTTGTCATATGAGTGATCGCATCGATAGCCAACAACATACAGCATATCTCCTCCAACGCTTATGACAAATTACGTCTCTACTCGGTAAACAGTCCGACATGTCCAATTCATCAGTTCTGTACGCAGGAGTGTTGTCTGGAGTAACGTAACAATGGCTATGATAAATGGTGTATATGAAGAGATGTCTTCTTTGCCGTCCGCTTCATAGCTTTATAAAATTTAGTCAATCGACCTGACTTGGCACCACGAATTACTTAAACAAAGAAATATGTTATCCACTCCCGACCCCGGTTATTAACTGTGAACCGCATCATTTTCCTGCTTTTTAAAAGGTAATAACGCCAGATTTAACCATTGTACAATTCATCAGTTCTCATGGAACGCGGCCTCCGAACGCCGCCCTTTCCTCAAACATGAGAAAGCTCACTGGCCAGAATTCAAAGAGTGCACCAAACATCGCTTCAGAGAACTGTGAAATCCTTCTGCTGTTGGGGTAGCAGAAAGGATTTCCGAAACGAAACTGCAGGCGCTCGCAACAACCTTATGTCGAATAAAAAAAAAAAACAATTTCCCAGTAGGGGTAATGGTTGGTACAGGAGCAAAAGAGGAATCGAAATGACTGGATAATGGTTAAATTATTATCCAAACCTAAAAAAAGGACGATATGGCGTTTAACGAACTAAACGGTAACTGATCCGAAGGGGGGCGATGGCCACTTTAAGCGCTAAAAGTACTACGTCATCTAAGATCTCTTTCCGCCGAGGATTTACCACCACAGTTAAAGATGGGTGATGTTGCGAATGTCATCCAAATCGTTGGGATCTAACGGAATATCAATGGAAATTTTGAAACAGCTGGATACGTCGAGAGTTGAGTCCCGCAAGGTAGCCAGCAAAGGTGAGTCACACCAGTAGCTGATGCAAACATACATTATAAGAGGGAGCCTTCCTGTCAGGCAGGTCTGGATGGCACTCATACTGACCCAGTCAAAAAATACAGTATGTGCGAATTGAGGCTCATTGAGGCTGTCTAGACAAACCGGGGTATTTTGGCGCAATTGTGTTCAGGAATACTCAGCCGTCTACAGCCATCCTGAAGTATGCGTGCCCGCACAATACGCTGCACCTACCCCATTCACTCTAGAAGATCTGTTGTTACAACCTATTAAGGTAGCCAAATTTTCATACCCTCAGCCATATGGCTAGAGAGGTATAAATCATTTGATACAGCCAAAACTTCTTTCATCGAAATAACGGTTTTAGACCCTAGGTCTCTTTGGACCAAATCCGTTTCAGGACATTTGAAGTCGATCTAGCGATGTCCCGTCCGTCTGTCTGTCTGGCTGCCTGCCTGTTGCGCACGATAACTCTATAAGAGAGTATCCGATAACTCTATAAGAGAGTATCCGATTATATCCGAATATCCAAACTTGGTACATCGTAATATTATTGTCAATCTAAGATCGAGTTCGGAGATGGACAATATCGGCCCACTCCTTCTGGTACCTCCTACACAAAACGTCAACATTTTCAAAGAAAATAATTTACTGCACAGAAAAAGAAAGGTTAATCCGATTTTGCTCCAACTTTGCGAATCCAAATATTTGCATCAGTGCTAGATGAGGTGCAAAAATGGACAATTTCGGTCCACTCCATCATGTACCTCCCCCACAAAGGGTCAACATTTTGAACATTCATGAAGTTCATAAAGTACGAAATTATTATTCGATTCCATTCAGACTTAGCACATCTCAATATTTCCATAAACACAAGACCTTTTATAAATATGGTAGAGATCGGTCCGTTCGTTCTGGTATCTCCCTCACAAAGGATTAAAGTTTTAAATAACCAAAATGAGCATAAAATCCGAAATAAGCACCCGGTTCTCTTCAAAATATACATATCACAATATTTTTAATAACCCAAGCTCTGGTGTGAAATTGGAATATATCGGTCCACTCCTTCTGGTACCTCCCCCACAAAGGTTCGTCAATTTGAGTATATATGACACTCATTCAGACTTGGTACATCCCAATATTTCCATCAACACATGATCCAATATAAATATAGTAGATATCGCATAATTTCTTATGGTACCTCCCCCACATAGGGTTCAAGATTTTGAAAAACAAAACGCTCAAAGAAAGCGAAATAAGGATCCAAATCCATCCATTTTTGCTAACACAAGATCTGTTATGAAGACTATATACATCTGCCAACACCTTCTGGCAGCTCACCCACAAAGGGTCGCAATTTTCAATACTTATATCTGTCATTACCTGCGAAACAAGTCGGCGATTCTTTACAACTTGCTATATCTAAATATTTGTCTTAACCAGAAATCTGATATAAATATGTAATCTATCGGAATTTATGATTTCACATAAAATTGGATATAAATGTTCGATTTTCTTCAAATTTTGCACATACCAATATTTTTATCTGTATTCGATGAAGTATGAAAATACATAATACTTCGGTTTGCTTTATATGTTACATCACGCATATTTCCACATTTTCCAAAAATTTGCAAATATCTCAATATATCAATAGTCGATATAGTCCAAATCTGGCACGTTGTAATATTTATATCAGTATTAGGTCAGATATGAATTGGTCAATATTGGCCAACTGCTTCGGAACCTCACCCCATAAAGAGACAACAGTTTGAATAAACATAATTCAAGGCTGGGGGTATACATCTGTCGGCAAAACCGACTGATACTATTTTACACAAAAGAAATACAACATCTATTGCTCCGCGAACAACATCAAATGCTTCAAAAAATTACACATATTTGGAAGTTATCATCATATATTTTCTTCTTTATTATTAATTTCAATGCATTTCAAAATAGATAGAAGTTATTCGAAAAAATGGACATTGAATAAAACGAAAAATTTCAAATTTTTCAACAATACTTTTTCTGAGATCTTAATGGAGAGAATATAAATAAGAGATTTTACAAAAAAAAAAGGTTATATAGATATAATGATGATATAAAAGAAAACATTATTAATTTGTCATATTTATAAGTATATTCTGTGTTATACATTAAACAATAAAATCAATTATGGAATACAATAAGCTTCTGGTTTTTGTTTCTCTTAAAATACGTTTACTTTGCCGTTAATACGTTGTCAATTAGTTGGTTGGTTTTTTTGTTAGATTTCTACATACTTCTGCTGTTCTTGCTTAAAAGTTATTGTCATATTTTTTTTAAATTTATGCATAAATTACGTGTGAATGTATTTCATGTTTATGTTTTAGATATATATGTATAATAATACGTACGTCAATATATATTTTTGTATTCTTGTTCATTGAAATCGTCACCTAAAAACAATTGCTTCTTTGTTAAATGTATTTATGTTATGTTAAATGTAGATTTTTTAACTTTATCTCTTTTTCTTCATTTAATTTCTCCAAATTATAATTTAATTATATTCTAAATACAATAACAACTTTAATAACTTATTAAACTAGTGATTTTGTTCACAATATTTTCATTCGGTTGTTTTTTTTATTTATTTATTAAGTACATGCAGTGTGTATATGCGAACATATCTGGGGTCAAAAATATTTTAACAAAACTATCTGGGCAGAATGTAAATGAAGAACAAATACCTCTGCAGCAGAATTCTTTTGACCGCTTATATGTTTACTTTTACAACTGATTTCACTGAATTTTAAATATATTTAACTTTATTTTTTGTAGATTTTATTTTCATAGTACTTTTATATATTCATGTATATAAGGATAAGTTTGACTAAAATTATATAGTATTCATTTAAAATACACATTTATATAAATAGAACAACTTGCATATTCAACAAAATGCAAACGAAAGAACTCAACTCAAAATTTTACTAACTTATAATACTATTGATTTTAAATGCGTTCATTTTATCTTTTAGTTGTTGGCACAGTGTTAGACCAACCGTAAACAGCACTAGGACATCGTTGAGCCAACCAACCGAACATTCCGCTTGGGTTGCCTCCATTTTAACCGTGCCCTGGACATTTAGTAGTTGATATACGGCTATTATCAATTTATGGCATTGCAAGAAGAAGGATATTGCTTGATCTTCGGGTAAATTTGGCGCTAAGGATTTCTGAAATGAAGGAAGATATGGAATGATTACAAATTTCTTTTTCTAAAAATCTGCGGACAAAATGAAAATTGTTGGACTTTTTTAAATTAAATTGACTCTGCTTCTGAAGGTGAATCCATAGAGTCCTGTAAACACAAACAACCAGGTCTGCTTTGATTCTAAGAAAAATAACTAAACTAGAGCCATACCGGCAACAGGAAAAATTATGTTTTTCGACTTCTCCTCGTCGTTAATGATTTTATTGGAATACAAATTACTGTGTCGCTGACGGAAACTATGATCAGTAACTGGATAGCTACGTTAAATAGGATGAGCAAAGCCTCAAGTCTTTGCTACTTGCGATAAATGTGAAATAGGCCAGTGTGACTCGCTTTTACTGGCATCCTTGCCTGGCTTTAGTAGTGGTTATGGACTTTTGTCAGGTACTCAATTCCCGACGTAATCGGCTGTTACAATAGTATTACCATTGAGCTTTCAGCCGAGCTCAATTTTGGGTTACTTAGCGTTTCGGATGACATTTGCAAATTCTCTTATCGTTAAAGTGGCCAATGCACTTCTTCGCGTTATTAAACGTTACGTGGTTAAACGGGATAGGCATAATATCCTCTTTTCTCCCAGTTTTCGAGATTGATTGAACTGTTACTCACAGCTCTCTTCTGCCGGTTGCAGATGGTGTGGACACTTCTCTCTGTTCCTGTCCTTTTATTCTAAGATCAGTAGGATTGGAACGACGGAGCCCACCACACTCATTCGCTAGTTTCGGTGCCTTGAAGGGAGCATTGGTCTTAATTACTGTTGTGTCGCTGTTGTAAACCATGACACAAACCATGATAAGTAACTGGATAGCTGCCTCTAATGAGAGGAGCAAAGCCTCAAGTAGCAAAGAACCAGTAGCAAAGAACTGGCGATTAAAGTGACATAGGCCAGTGTGACTTGCTTTTGCTGGTATCCTTTGCTGGCTTTAGTAGAGTCAGCATCCGGTCCATCGCATTTTTATATCCTCCACCATACTATGGAGGGTATATCAACTTTGTCATTCCATTTGTAACTCCTCGAAATACTCATGTCAGACCCATGTCTTGATCAGCATAAAATTCTAAGTCGATTTTGCGATGTCCTTCTGTCACGCTATCTTTCGAACCAAATAGCCGCCATATAACGGTACCTCCCGTATTTTGATGATTTTAGCGACAATATTCACCGGAATTGTTTCAAATTTGGTATTTGAAGTTCGTAATGGATACTACAGCCTAATGCAGAAAATTGTCTGTTCAGGTCCACGTCTTAGTACAGCCCCCATATAACGGTTCCTCCCGATATTCAGTATTTTGATGATTTTAGCGACATTATTCACCGGCATTGTTTCAAATTTGGTATTTGAAGTTCGTAATGGAATCCACAGCCTAAGACAGAAAAAATGTCTGTGCACGTCCACGTCTTCGTATGCCCCTCATATAACGGTATTTCACGATATTCGGTATTTTTATGATTTTAGCGACATTATTCACCTGAATTGTTTCAATTTTGGTATTTGAAGTTCGTAATTGTTACTACAGCCTATGACAGAAAATTGTCTGTGCAGGGTCACGTCTTCGTATAGACTCTATATAACGTTACCTCCCGATCTTCGGTTGTTGATGATTTTAGCGACATGTTTGTACCAGAATTGTTTCAAATTTGATATTTGAAGTTAAGACAGAAAAATTGTCTGTGCAGGTCCACGTCTTCGTATAGCCCTCATATAACGGTACCCCCCGATATTCGGTATTTTGATGATTTTAGTTACATTATTTACCGATAAGTTTTAAGTTTCGCATTTGAATATTGTAATGGCGTATGACCTTAATATAACGTCTACATTCGATATTTTAAGGGCTTTAACAGATTTTTAACGAATTGTATTTTTTTGAAAATGTCCAAATTCGTTCCAAATGGTGGAGGGTATTCAAAGCTCGGCCAGGCCGATCTTACAGCTTTTTTACTTGTTATAATTTGGCAGTATTTTTTTAACATTTTTTTTTTTTTTTTTTTTGAAAGTTTGGAAATTTTTTACGTAGAATTAATTATTAAATATCAACTTCGCAAAATATGGCAAAATTATTTAATTATACTTACCATATTACGACCTTTCATCAGGTCATCAATGGATTTTTTCTTTGGTATTATAAGACTAGTACGTCCTCGTTGTAGGGCTCCAATTAATTCGCCAATAATTTGCAGAACTTCTTCGGAGGAACTAAAATTGTGAATATAGGCATTTTTTTTATTTTCTTCGATTTTTTGTGTCTCTTTTCATTCACATTCACATATAAACTAATAAACACACAAGTGCACTTATAACATTAAAATAAAAATATATACACAGGCCAAGCCACAAGAAGCATTCATTTATTAAAAACAAAAAGAAATCAACAAACAACCGAAATAATTGGGGAAAATCTAAAGCAATTTCATTCACATAAATAAAACAATAAATAATACACATTATTTTTTTTATTTACAATTGTAAATAATAGCTTTGTATACAAACATATTAATAGAATATTTGCAGCAGTACACAAAGAATATTGATTGAGATATAAGCAGCGATGGAAAATTGCAAAGTAAAAAAAAAAAACAAATATTAATCATATTCATGCAATAAAAAAATTTTCACATGGCAATGTGTTTGAGTGAGATATTCTTTGCTTAAAATTCAGGAAAAATTGGTTAGGACCATTTTGTTTTGTTCGTTTTTTAGATCTATTTGGATATTCATTTTTGAAAATTTCATTTTATGTATCCTCAAAAGAATTGCTAGAATTTTTCGTCGACTCACTATATTCATACCAGATCTATGGGGTTGTAAGAAAACTATCGCACACTTCTAATTTATAAAGTTGTTTAAATTCAAAATGTTATCCCTTTGTGGGGATGGTACTTAAAGAAGTGGGTCGACGATATAAAATTTCCCATCTGATCTATTACTAATACAAATTTTAGGATTTGCAAATTTTGCGCACTATATCAGATTTCAGGTTGTAAAGAATCGTCGACCTGAATCGCAAGTCATGACAGGTATAAGTATTGAAAATTGCGACCCTTTGTGGGTGAGTTGGCAGATATATATCATCTTCACAACAGATCTTGAGTTAGCAAAAATATTTGGATGTGTCAAATTTGAGGAGAGTTGAATGCTTATTTCGCTTTCTTGAGCCCTATGTGAGGGAGATACCGAATAGAATGACGCGATCTCTACCTTTCTGTGCAGTAAATTATTTTCTTTGAAGATGTTGACATTATGTGGGAGAGGTACCAGAAGGAGTGGACCAATATTGCCCATCTCCGAACTCGATCTAAGTTTGACAATAATATTACGATGTACCAAGTTTGAATCAAATTGGATACTTCCTTCGAGAGTTATCGCCAGCAAGCCAGGATGGATGGACATCGCTAGATCGGCTCCAAATGTGCTAGGATCTACGACCGTTATTTCGATGAGCCATATGGCGGAGAGTATAATAAAATAGTTTAATTCGTTAAATTTTCGGAAGATTGTTAGAAAAAACAGGTTGTTTATATTATTACAAACAACCCATACTATTTATCGTATTTTTTTTGTTTTTGCTTAAGTAATAATAGCATACTATTGATATTAAGTATTGTGCAATAAAAATATGAAATCAAAACCGCAAAAAATAGGGTTTAAATAAAATAACAAAAAGATATTGAATTATAAAAATATTTCAGCGCATTATGACAATAATAATGAAAGTAAAACCTAATTGCAGTAAACAGAAATAAAAACAAAAAGCTCTAAAAACAATTTTTGGATAATAAAATAAGTATTTAAATATACATATGTTTATAGAGCCAAAATACTTCAATTTTAAAATATTTATATGAATGGTGGGTGGAAAGTATATTTCATCTATAAACCGTGAAAGAAGCCTTTATTTATAGCCACTAAATCTCTTAATATTGAAAAATACATGCAGTGCAAGAAGAAAAAAAAAAAAAACATGAAAACAAAATATTTAGTACTTACCGAAATTTATAATTTTCATCAACATTGTCAATATGATTAATGGCCTGTTGTAAATGATTGGCAGCATCTTGTACTTGTTGTAATTTCCAGGGAGCTTCTGATGTTATTGCAGTTCGTTGGATTTGGGATGAGGAACGTTTTAATTTAAAACTAATTTCCTGTATGAAAAAACAATACAAGATATTTAAATAAGTAAGATTATAATTGCTATACAGATTTAAAAAATATGACAAGTAAAACGATGTTCATTTTCGCGGAGCCTTACTTTTTCATACCCTCCCTAAAAACTTCACTTATAGCTAAATCGGATATCCCCCAAATCCCTAATGGTAATGTTGATACAACTGGATACGACGAGAGTTGAGTATCTAACAAAATTTCTCAACTTATCGCTAGGCCCCACATCGTTCCCAAAGCCTGGATAATGGGACTAAAGACAGATTACCTCCATTACATAGCACAACAACAGCACTGCAGGCCATATTCATACACATCAGTCGAGGATTACACCAGGACAAGCCGTGTCATAGAACAGTGTTGGAAGCGTTTAACTTATCAAAGACGTTTGATCAGTAACTAATCTCCTGTCATGTTTGAAGCGTTTGTTATTCAACTATAAGTATGGACGCTTGTCGTACGTGGAATTCTGTAACAAGAAGACCAGACGGCCTAGATACTGATGATTGTACGATCATTTAGTGGGGTTGAAAAACTATGAAAGTGCGGAGCTTGCCGCCCACATCCACGCGAGGAATATGAAAATATCCGCCACTAGATCAACGGCCATAGTCTTTACAACATGGTCTGCGGAGATGACAACAGAGCTGAATGTGCAGGTCGAGGGGCACACAATTCGACCATGGACAATTCCTCTGCGCAAGTCACAGCTATCTGGAACAAAATGAGTAGCAGGTAATGGTCCTCAAGGCACCAGCTGGTTGCACTTAGGTTGCGGATAAGGAGAATGCTGCCTTGAGAACTGTGACAGGTATGACTCCTCATGACGCCTGTGGACCATTTACATCAGGAGTCGAAGGTCCTTCCCGTACGTCATCATAACCATATGATTCCGTTGCAGTACCTCGAGGCAGTCATTGGGGATAAAACTCCCCAACCAAGGTGCGTCTGGAAGGCCCATCCCAACAAGAAGGAGTCTCTAAGCATATCAGGCAGGTCTGGTATTCATACTGATGCAGTCACAGAAGCCATCAACAATTAAAGTATGAATGACGTACTCGGAGTCCATCCATTGCAGCTGAAGAACGTTGTGCATGTCCTGCCACACCTACACCGCTCACATCAGAAGATGTTTGGGTACAGCCCATGAAAGTAACCGCATTTTTGTTCCTGGTGTTAGAACCGGATTAGCAAAAATCAAACAAAACAAAAATAACCCAAAATATCAAATCACACCTGATTTGCTGGGAAAGCAAACTACACATAAACGGAGTGTCGCAGTATATGGAACTGCAACAAAACTGAACCTACTCGTACAATGAATATTTTGCGAGGAGTTAATCTACCCACTGAGGACGCGAACTGTCAAATTATATTTGTAAAATGGGCCGATACCTTCAAAATACAAAAAAACCTATAGATTCCGTTATACGATGACCCTAAAATTGGGGGTCGAAACACAATTCAATTTTCAATAGCAAAAATCTTGGGAATATTATCAATGTCCAAGACATACCCAAGATTTCAACACACGGGCATGCCCAAATCGATACATAATTTGACGCTGAATATGAATATTATCCCTTAATGGGGTCTTCGAAAAAATTTTCCAGGAATAACAAATTTAATTTAATCTCAATTTTAAGTTAAATACAGTAGCACAAAAAGTACTAATACTGACATATAACAGTCTGCGCTAATTCCTAAAATTTTTTACAATGAAGGTTTTTGTTCAAATGCTGTTTCATATCCTCCACATGACATACTACTGTATCAAACACTATTTTGCAAAATATTATTATAAGAAAAGACAAACTTAATTTTGAAACGTTAAACTATACGATACACTTTATTGCCCTTGGAATTTACTGAAGCAACGTTGATGCCATCAATCCTTACTGATATTAGATTGATTACCACAGATGAATGTGGTTTAGCCAATACAAGGTTTCCTTTTGTTATTGATTGACACAGTAACGTAGCCATGATCTAATTCTTAATATGCAAACACTCAATACCATTATTTGCACAGTATTATCAATCGCATAGCTTGTTAAACCTATAGACTCGGCAGGTTATACACAATTAATTTCTACACTTTAAAATATATATATATAATTCACACCCCCACAATTATATTCTAATTATGAATAATTGCATACATTTTGCAATAATTTAAACTATCTCATACTACATTCCAATACTTTACCGCTTGTGTAATGCTATCTCCGGTCAATGTCAGTGAACATTTCAGTTGGTCCTGTGCCGCAACCAAATGAAATTTTTCAGTACGTTTGCCCTCATTATCGTACAGTGGCACTGGAAAGCGGCGGGCACATTCCTAAAAGAAACAAGAATACAAAAAAAATGTAATGAAAAAATACCAATGCAGGTGAATGAAAAAAAAAACGTTTCAAAGGGACAACACATTTGTTTTTTTTTTTTTGTTTGGGTGGTGGGTGTTCCAAATGTATGTCAAATTCGATAGGTGGTAATGCAAACAAGGGGGTTGAATGGCTTTGTTGATAAATTCCGCACTATTTTTAGATCAAACATTTTACTTACCACCAAAATTTCTCTGAGCTTCTTTAAAATCGAATGAACCTCATCCCGCATAACCCATTCAAATTCAATTTGCTGAAAGTAATAAAATCGAAAGAAATATAATTTAATATCAAAATCTGCACATAAATCTTTCAATTGGCATTTTTTGTTTGTTGAAAACAAATATAAACAAATTTAATTCAAAAAGTAAATTGATTTGAAACTATTTGAAACACTTGGGTTTCTGTGTTATACGATGCCCTACATATTAAAGGAAAATATTTTGAGCAGGTATTCGTCTTTGTTACAGATGTGATTGGAATTGTTTTTGAATTGTCCGTAATGAACATAAAAAGATTTATTGTTTTCCCAGCTTCAGGAAAGCTAAAATTATGTTGGTTAAAGTTTTCAAAATTAAATAACACCTTTTTCATGACACACTTCCCAAATCCAGTAATAATACTGAATGCTCAAATGCACGAAATTACAGTTCTATCAATTAGGCACAGGGTTTAAATATACAGGGTGATATGAAAAAACTACAACCAACTTCCGACAGCTGTTACAAGCGTACAAAATTGTTTACAAGCGTACAAAAGCTTTTTGGTGAGAATTTTCCAGAAAATAAGTTATTCGTGATGGAATTCAAGCGTGATAGTGTGATTTCTTTATATTTGGCTAGTAAACCAGAAGTGGCTATCGTTAGAGCACTACAGCATTTGAATGTGAATAAATCTTTTGTGTCTCGTAGCATCGCTCTTTACTGGTAGCGTAGCCCGACGCCAAGGAAGTGGACGGAAGAAAATAGCAACATCAGCAGAAATGGTTTGAAAAGTGAAGAAGCGACTTTATCGAAAACCGCGTCGCAGTGGCAATATTACACTCAGCAAATATTGAAAAATGAGCTCGGGGTAAAGCCTTTGCAATTGAAAAGGTGCAAGAACTTAAACCGCGACAGAAAGAGACTCCAAAGAGCTAAAGAGTTGCTTCGCTTGGCCGAAAGTGGTGAACGTCCGAATTTGGTTTTCTCCGATGAGAAAACATTCGTTGTCCAGCAGTTTGTAAACAAACAAAATGATCGTGTTTACTTGCCCAAGTGGTCAGCTGAAAACGTTCACCTTCGGTTGGCCACCAGAACTCAAGCACCAGCGATGGTCATGGTGTGGACCGCCATAACAGCCGATGGTCGCTCTCCTCTCGTCTTAATCGGCTGTGGCATCCGAATAAATGCCGATTATTATCGCGAAAATATTCTGGAGGGTGCCCAATACCTTGGGCACGCAAACATTTTGGCCGCAGATCTTGGACATTCCAACAGGACTCAGCATCATCGCACTCAGCACGTGACACCCCAGAACAGTTACAAAATGAGGTTCCTCGCTTCATTTCCAGCGCACAATAGCCACCAAAATCTCCAGATACCAATCCGTTGGACTATTGTGTCTGGAGTATTTTGGAAAGCAAAGTTGGCACAAAAATATACCAAAGTGTCGATCACCTCAAGGAAGCGCTTCGCCGGGATTGGGCAAAAATACCGCAGAGCAACATTCTGGCCTTTTGAAGGCCATAATTCGTTCAAAAGGTGACCAATTCGAACAAATCTAAACTTATTCTCAAATTTGATGCTATTTTCGACATTTCCTGCTTTCATTCAATAAAATTTAAAAAAAATTGAAAATTATGGCGTTCGACTTTGTTGCAATTTTTTCTCGCCCTGTATATCGTGGACTCCCAAAATAAGACCTTTTTTGATTTTTGTTTGTCTCCCTTTTTGGGGGCCCAAGAAATCAATGGATAAGTATTTTCGGCTTAACTTTAGTTTTGTAAAAACTCTTCAATTTTTTCCAGTGGTAGGTATTTTTACCCTCATCCCGGGAAACTATTTTTTTCTTGGGGGATGGACCCGGGACCCCAGATTTTTGACCCCAAATTCCGGGCTTAAGACCCCGACTAGACCCGGATCCAATGAGACGATAGAGACAATATAGGTGAGATTTTCTTCTCTGGGTATGTCCCACACCGGCTAACGCGAACCAAAGTTTTCTAAATTTGGTGATTTTGTAATCCAACGAAGGCTACGCGAAATAAACCTTTTTTATTGAAAACATAATTTTAGTGAACTGGTTAGAATCGGGTTATGCGGATGGAAAGAGCCATATCTCTGGACCCGAAAAAGGTATTAGCACAAATTGCATCATGTGACCATGTGACCATTTGTTGGGTAGCTATTTTCATAAGCTTTCAAACGACACCTTTATTGTCTATATCGGGTAAGTGAATCCGGCTCCAGGCCAGGTCTTGAACCCGGATTATCGGGTCAAAAATCTGGGGTCCCCGGCCCGCCCCAAGAAAAAATTTTTTTCCGGAATTAGGGTAAAAATAACTACCTCTGGAAAAAATTTCGAAAAAATCGAAGCGTATTTACTAAATTATAGTTGTTCCGCATTTTCATTAGCTTTCAAATGATACCTGTATTGTTCATATCGGTTTAATAGATCAGGGTTTATCGCGGGTCTTGGAACCGGAATGTCAGGTCAAATATCCGGGAATCCGGGTATTTGAAAAAATACTTTCCCGTAACCAGGTTGGCCCTTCGCCCCAGTTCGAATCTTGAATAGAAATGTAACCGAAAATTTTACCAACACTTCTAGAGATAAATAAATTCCACTTTTCAGACTTAAATTTCATAATCATCCCATTTAATTTTTCGTTATTAATTTTTTCCGCATTTCCAGACATTTCATTCATTTTTCCGCATTTCCAAACTGAAGATGCAAACAAATGCAATTTAACACATAATTTTCATTAATAAATTTCATAAACATTCCATTTGCGTAGGATGCAGAAAAAGTCGTCTTCACTTGTGGTTCTTCCATCATCAGTGTTTGGTGTTAGTAAGTGCCCAACTCGCACACACACAAACATATACATACAACATTCAATGGATACTTGTGCATGATTTTTTCCTGCTCTTATTCATGGGCAAAAAAAGCGAAATTATTGATTTTTGCAAATTTTCTTATTGTAAATTCTTTAGGTTTTTCCGTAATTCAACACTTCAAATTTTCTTTGGACTTGGTCAAATTCATTTCATTCAATTTCTTCTTTCATCAAATTGATTAATTTTGCACATCCTCTGAATTTCCTTTTGGGACACTTACTAAGTTTTTCACTTCTTCACTTTCTATGTCTTCCATCATCATTATGACTAACTGTTATTATTTAGAATTTTTGCAAAATGAACTTTTAATTTAATTCTATACACTTTTTTAGAAATTATGTTTAATGAAGCAATTTTCTTTAATTTTAATTTCGAACAAAACACCAAACAATTCAAGGAAAAAACTGAGACTATCTTTTGTACTGACGGCCACTCGTATTGTTTGAGTATTGGCAACTCTTTATTAGTAAGGGTTGGCAACACACAACCGCTGCGCAGAATTTCTAGTTCCTTCATTCTCTACTTTTCGCAGAATTGTTCAATCAATTTTAAAATAAAAAATATAACGGTAACAACAATTAAAAAAATATTTAGATTAAAGCCTATTGCAAAATAAGTAGGTATTTAAATTATTGCATGTTTTCCACAATCGTGCTCCGAGGTATATGTATGTACACACAGATCACATTCATAAAGTTTTTTTTCTTTATTTGGTTTGGACCCGCTATGAAAATGCAGAAAATGTTAACACATATTATCATGTTTTAGATCAATTTTATTGTTATACTGGTATATATGAAAAATGTAATTTGTAGTAAAAATATTTAAAAAATAATGTAATAAACAAAAAGTACTGCAAACACCACAAAATCAACAGAAATTAAGTACATAAAATATAATGAAAAACACTCGTTTGGAACTATGGATGTTTATTTTCCTTGTTACGGGATAGTGAGGTGGTGCCCACAGACGATACTCGGGAACTAATTCGACCAGTCTGTAGAGGAAAAAAGGGAAAATGTTTTAAAAAATGATGGTTTAACAAAATCTAATTATACATACAGGTTTTACAGCTGCAGTATTGCTTGCTGGTTTTACAGTTGTCTTTGAATTTAACTTGGTACTAGACGATGTAGAGAGTCGTGATGAAGAGGTTGACAAACGTGATGTTGATGAAGCATTTCTGCTGCTTGCGCTAGAAGAGGCAGCCGTTCCAGCTGTTGTATTTATCCTTGACTTTAATGGAGATTTTGCTTTGAATTCAGATATGGTACGCCTTTTAATTGCTGCAGTAGATGCAGCGGATGCAACAGGCTTTGCATTAGGAGTGGCAGATAAATAAGAATATCTTGGTTTTTGTAGTGTTGTACCGGCTGTGGTTCGCTTCATGGGGGATGTAAATAGAGATGGTGTTGAACATGCATTGGGATAACCAGCCGGTACACCCAATGCCGATGTACGTCCAGAAGCCATGGGAGTTGTGGGCATTTTCAATTTCACCTTAGAATTATTATGAACATCATCTTTCATGGCCCCATTGTCGGGTGTTGGAGGGGATGTTTTTAACATTGGAGCCACCTTCTTTACCGGTATAGTAGCCTTAAGTGGTCCAGATGATTTCATTATTGATTCAGTGGCGTTCGCTTTGTGTTTTTTCTTTAGATCTGGTTTAAATGATTGTAGATTATTTGTTGGCATTGGTCTGACAATTGCCTTTTGTTGCTGCTGCTGTTGCCCTTCAACGTGAGTGTCCAATGTTTGTGTCATCGAGGACCTATAAATATTTCCATAATAATAAACAAAATGAGTAGAATATTATACGAACAGCTTGCATGCTTTTCTTAACTTACCCAATACCAGTTCTTCTCATTCCAACTGTGGCTGTATATGGAGTACCACTCGAATAGGAGTTACGACGAATCATACGTGCTGGTGTTTTAAATTCCGGTGTCTTAAATTCTTCTGATTCAAAATCTTTTGGCGGTGGTGTTGTTGTCACCGGCGGAGAGTCATCCATTATGCTGTGTCGTTTCTGCAAACCTTTCGGTGTTGGTGGATGGAATGGTATTTGAACAATTTTTACTTTATCATGCAACGATAAAGACTGTGATCGCCTACGGTGTGGATTCGGCTGAACATTAACAATATTAAGTTCGGGAGAATCATCAGGAGATGAATGTTCAATGAAACTGGTTACCATTGCAGGCTTTTGTTTTGTTCCAGCCGAAATCGAGTTATTATGATGACTGTTTGAAGGCATAACAACAATAAAAGTGGGATTTTGTTGGTTACCTTGCTGACCATCACCGGAATTGTTATGGATAAGTAGCTTACTCAGTTGTTCTACGATATCATTAACGTCATGTTGCAATGTTGTCTCACCGCCGTCAGAATATTGCGGTGAGGGTGGATCAATTTCTGGTAGATTCAACTCCTGCTTGTCTTCAGCAGTTTCACCATCATATGTAGCCGATGAACTGACCATGCAATTGGGCATTTCTGACACTAATGGCTGATTTGCCAACTCATCTGCGGTGGTATTTTCTTTTAAATCCAAATCAAATGTGCCTTGACGTTTCATAGGCTGTGGTTCTGGCACAGCAAGATTATTTTGCTGCATAGAAGGGCTTTCTGATGTCTGAGAAGTTGTCAATGCACAACTCAAGGATTCTAATAAGGAGGATGCTTGCAATTGTTTGCCGTTTGCCGCCAAATCTCCGCTGTTTAATAATGATTTTAAATCACATATAAGAGAATTTATATCTTGATGATTGTTGTTGGTCTCTTCGCGCTTAGATTTGAGCTTGGATTTAAGGGTTTCTAAATCAAGAGGTGGCGATAAATTTGTAGCAGAAATACTCTTTAGACACGTCTCCGTGATTTTATTGTCCCTTGGAGGAGATATATGATGTGTGACGGCAGATTCAAGTTCACTCAACATTGGTATCTTCAACATTTCAAGATCAGCCTCAAAGTTCTTGTCTGCATCAATTAATGCTGGCGGTTCTTCCGACATTATATCATCATCGACAAATTTTAAAGGCGACTCGGCAGCCAATGAATATTCACACAAAAAAGGAGTTTTGTTAAGTGTAGAAGACACGGGTGTACCCATTGCATCAACATCATCTACAGAACTTCTTCTCGCAGTCGGAGAATTAAAGGCCGCATTTGTAACACTTAATTTCAGTAGACGTTTCCGATATTCCATTGCCTTCTTCATTTTAGCTGCCGAAGACATTTCTGCGCTATCGCCGGGCGTTGAGTCAGTATCAGTACCAGAGTTAAATTTATCCATCATTGTAATGGGCGGACTTTCTGAGTCTAAATCAAAATCCTTCACCTTATTTCTACCCGAGACCTCTTCTGGTGGAGCCACATTGCCACATTCCAAAAGATTATCATCACTCAAGGACAGAAGATTGCCCAGCTTAACTTCAACGGATGGGGTTCTTTTAGAAAGCTGAGCCTTAAGACATGCTTCTCGTTCGACAATATCAAACGGATCATCCTTGCAATCGGCCAATTTTTCCACCACATCAAATGGATTATTATCAAGACTAACACGTTTATCCGTACGTGGTGGTGACACAAAATGTAGAAGAGTCGACAGATTATCGGTATTAGTATTTTCGGACGGAGTTGTTGCATTTTTATCAGTCTTTTCTATGGACGCATTTTCTTCTAAACTTAAATCTATTAAATTAGCACAGTCAATATCACACATTTTATTTTTCGTTCGTAGAATTTCTTGAGAAATAAAATAATACTTAGTCGTTTTTGTTTTCGTAAAATAACACTTTAAATCAAGCCATGTATGTGAAAATTTCCCCGATTGGTCGTCCTTCGAATTTTTGTTGTTATTTTTTAAGCGCGGCTAGTCAAGTCATATTTCTTCTTGCTCCATAATCATTCACTGAAAATGATAGCACGAAACATGAAACTAAACCTAAAGCTAGTTTACACATAGTATAATTATATCTTTCGTCTATGATCTCAAAGGAGTTGAACTGTGTTGTGTAGATTTGAACCAAGATTGATTTTCCCAAGCGTTGATGCATCTACCCATGGCACAATTACAGAAGCTACCTCCCAAATACATTTTTTTTCTTTTGGTGACCTTATTATGTCAGAACATAAACACATTTTGAGTTTGTGTGTGTATTTTTTTAAATAAAAAGGACAATAATTTGATATTGTTTCAAATTTTCGACGTAAATGGGTATCAAATTGTACAATTTTGTAAAAAAAAACTGTATTGACCTGCTATTTCAGATACCATCTCGAGGAATAAACCCGAAATTCAATTTTTGTTTCGCGGGTTTTCCCAATATAAGAATTTTGTTAAAAAAAATTAAAAATAAACAAGGCCTACTGCTGCATATTTAAAAGTCTGTTTGACACAGAGTTGCATTGTTCTAGTTTCTTTGAAGTTGAGCAACCTTTCTTATTGACCTATATACCTATATTCTTCTACCATGGTTCACAAAATTTTTCAAAATTACTCATTTGACAACATTTTATTGTCAGATATGGGGACCTGCATTCTGAAATTTGAGAAGGTAAATTATAGAAAGTGCAAAGATGGGAATTCTTATTTGAAATGACTTTACCTTTTTAATTTTACCATGATGCGAACATAGAAAATATAATTCGTGTGGAAAATGTTCATTTTTTGTGATTTCCAGAACTGCAAGAATTTAAAGTTTTTTACATCTACAACCGATTTTTTCTTTATGATATCGAAAACTATTGCAAAACTAGTAGATTATTGCAGGTTGTGGAACAGACCATTTGTTATTGGTCTTTTCCAGAACTGTAAGAATGTTAAAATTTTTACTACGATAGCCGATTTCGCCTTTATGATATCGACAAAAATTGCAAAAATAGTATATTCTTGCAGGTTCTGAAAGAGAGCATATGTTGTCTTTGCAAATACACTTTAATTTTGTATTAGTCAACATGTAATGCATTTTAAATGAATAAAAACGTTGGATACCATTAGCATGTAAATTCTGTTCCAGATTTTCAATAAATCCAATCGTACGGATATCTTTTTGTATGTAAAAGCTGAGGAAATAAGTCCGGATTAAAAAATAAATCCCAATAATGTCGATTAATCCGCATAATGTTTTTCTTTTATAGATTTGTTTTTTTTCTACCAATTAAAGTATGGCCTGTTCCAGAACTACAAAAATGTACAAGTTTTTACTACGATAACCGATTTCCCTTTATGATATCGAAAAAATTGCAAAACTCTAGATTCTTGCAGATTCTGGAATAGAGTAAATTATCTAAATTGTTTTGTTATCTGTAAACACAATGTAAGTGACAATGGTTCAAAAATGAACAATTTTAAAAATGGAACAAGTGAAACCTTCCGTGAATAGATGCATTGAACACATTTGTTTCGGAATGACACAACTTCAGTTGATTTTTTGCAACACCTAGAGAAAATAGGCAGGCGACTTTTTGTCTGAAATAAAATAATTATGGCAAATTTTATGCAGGATAGCGTTGTAAAATATGCCTGCTCATGTGGCATATTAAATCCTATTAGCAAGTTGTTTTTCTGTCGTCATTGTCCTAAGCTGAGGTGTGGTTTTTGTGTTTGCCACGAAGTGAGTAATCGATTTCAAGCTCTCATACAATGAAGAAAGTTCCCATACCGTAAATCTAATGTTTGTTTTAGGTGGATTCCAATTTCTGCTCTAATTGTTTAGAAAATATACCCTCGTCAGAGGCACGAAACAAAAAGAACTGTTGTGCTAACTGCTTTAACTGCCCATGCTGTCATCATACTCTGTCGGCAAGGGCCACAACTGTGGTCGTACAAAAGTGGGTAAACTGAAAAATGAAAATTTCGTAAACCAATAATAAAAAGATGTATATGAATTTTACAGAAAGCCCGAAGAAGGCGCTAAGGATGGAGATGGAGCTGCGGGTGCAGATGCTAAACCCGATCCATCAAAGGTCATTACGAAGAAAATGTACTATTTATCTTGTTTAGCCTGTAGATGGACTTCGAGGGATGTTGGCATACCCGATCAATCCGTGGGTAGGTTTAGAGGAATAATTTAAAATGTTAATAGTTTTAAATCTGATGCGTATTTTTTATTTTTCCAGCCACTGGGTCTTGGCCGGATAATGAGTGTGCCTACCAGACACGTTTCAATGCTTTGGCTGAGTACTATCAGGCAGTTGTGCAACAGGATAAACAAGAACGTCAAGAGTATTTGCGACGCAAAACTCCCAAGACTCATAAGTTTCCCAGTTTAACTGATCGTACCGGGCTTACTGTGTCGATTATACGACGTCAAATGGGATGGTCTGATAAAAATACCCAAAAAGCAAAACCGGTTAATATAGCCCCAGCTCAAAATACTGAAGATGTGGGACAATTGCCAGAAAGTATTTTCACGCAAAAAATCAACTTGAGGAATAGTAAGTGGTCTTCTATATGTCTTGAAACATTATAATGGATATACCTCTTTTTCCAGTCACTACGGTCAAGCAGCGTCACAATCAACCCTGTGAGCAACCATTTACCATAAACAAATTGTATCCGCAGAGACGTGGACTTTGGATAAAACGTTCTTTGCGTTGTCGCGAATGTGAACATAATGTCATTAAACCGGAATATCATCCAACTTCAGTCAAGTATCGCATTCAGTTATTCGCCAGCTATCATGTACCCGATGTATTACTGGTTAAATGTGATCAGCCGTTGAAGGCCGGCGAACCCAATGCAGTTATTCTAAAACTAAGTAATCCCACATTGCACGATATGGAGATAAATATTGTGGAATTACCCACGGAGGAAGATGAGTTAAAACTGATTGAAGAATTTAAACGTGCATGCACTCTAAAGGACACCTCATTGACAGCAGCTACTGCCATGGATTCGTTGAAATCTCTTACAGGCTCTCCAAGTCTTACCGGTACAGCAAGTCTGACCAATACTTCATTGGTGCGACAGACATCCATACTCGAGGAGCCAAGAGTAGTAAAACTAAAGGTTAATAGTAAACTGCAACCACCAGAGGCCAGTTTTATCTTAAATTTGAGAGATGATTCCAGGGAATTCGATGATGAGCCGCAAACAACAACGAAATCCGAACCAGAGTAAGTTTTAAAATAAATTTAATAGAAATGTGTGATTAAAATTTTTAAATTCTTATTTTTGCAGATTTATAGTATCTCGTAAATCGAATAAGGTTTATTTGAGTTTAAAATTCATTCCTGATGCAGATTTAAAGACTGGCGATGATGTTTATGTCGGCTTTAACATGCTATACACCTATGTTAATACTGTAACTAATACTCCTGAGAAGAAGGAACCAACAACACATGTCTTGAATTGTCGTATTTATGTACAAGTGGGATCTATTGAGGCTTAAAGCTGAATTACTTACGTGTTCTTTCAAAAGTCATTTAAATGTATTACATTTATGTATTCTTTAATTATTTAACTCTGTAACATTTGTCCTTTTTTGCTATATATATTCTTATTTATGCTTTGAAATAAATACTAATGAATTAACTCAAGTCTATTTAGAGGATGTCTGAGAAAAAGGTACAAAACGAAATGAGTCGGTCGAATATGGAATTGCATTTTTGTCAGAAGACAATATCGTAACACGTAAACCAGTTAAACGATATCACACAAAGCCAGGGTCCAAATTCTTGCTTTCGATGTCGAACAAATTTCGATCGAAATTAGCTTAATTTGATTTAAAATTGCGATTGAGGCACCTAAACACTGAATGTTAGGGCTAGATTTCTGTGGTTTCTGAAAATGTAGAAATAAATGTGCATTTATGCAACAACTTAATTGGGGTTGGACTATGCCATTCACTTTACTTCCCTAAATAATAACAATATTTGTATTTATGTATTTTTACTTTTTTATTTAATGTAAATATATTTGCTACAATTATAAATACGGTTTCTTAAAAAAAAAGAAAGGAAAAATAGATTTCAAATCAAAAGGAAATTTACGAAAAATAAAAAAGAGTACAAGAATTCTTTAGTGACAAAGAAAAATTAAATAACTAATAGTTGGCTGGCTTTAAAATAATGTTAACATAAAGATATATCCCTAATCTCACACTCTCCCATAGTGTCTCTCTCTCACTCTATGCATCTTTGCCCCTTACAAGGCCATTTTACGGCCTTCTATAGATATTTCAACAGCACGGCGACTGCTCGCCTTCAAACGTTTTTGATCTAAGAATTTTTTCATGTGTTTTTCAAAACGATTTGGTTTTCGTTTTGTCGTCGTTGAAATCTCTCCCTCTACGGTAGATTTGGGGCGATTCACGTATTCTTTTTCCGATGGTCGGGGCACTCGAGCTCTTGCAACCCATCCAGGGTCACCAGGACGTAATGTATTCTCTTCCTCTGGTTTGGCGAAAGCGGAATTAATACCTTTCTTTTTCTTTGAGGTGGAAGGTTCTGGTTCGGGCGTTTTCTTACGATGTCTTATTGAAATGCGATCTCTTTCTTGACGTTCCTCCTTGGACATGGCTCTGAAGTCTGTTGTTAAATTAAAAATGGGTCTTGCCCATTCAGATATTAAACGACCAGCACGATCACGATTGGTTTTGGTTTCTTTTGGGTGCTTATATAAATACATAACGGCCTTGCCTATGCCGGACTGTTTTAGATAACTTTTATCAATGGGAGGAAACTGAAAAGAAATATTGAAAACATTGAATCTTAAATCTTTTCGAAAATATATGTTTATACATACATCTCCTAATAATCGAAGAATGCTTTCGCGAATTTGTATACAAGGTAAACTTTTATTGGGCAATGGCGCTAGCCAATCAGTCAAGACATTTAGAATATTGTGCTCCATAAAAGCCAATTGCAAATCCTTCTTGATCAACTGTGACATGACGGTTTTGAGCATGGAGATCTTCTTTGTTGCCGGTTTACCTTGCATATTCAACTGGCGATCCTCATCGGAAGCGCTCTTCATACTCATAATAAGCTGATCGATAAGATCGTCATTGTCATTAATTAAATCAATGTCACGTTTACGGCGTTTGGTACGTTTTTCTTCCTTTTTACGCAACAACATGGCATCAAAGTCAGAGATGAAATTATCATTACTGCAATTAAAAAATAATAAGATTTAATTTAAGTATTCACATTTGGCTATTGCAACTTACTCTCTGTCCCTGTCGAGGGGAATGTTTTCATCATCTGAACTATCACCCATTTTTTGGGCACCACCTTGTGCGCCGCCTTCGGCATCCAATTTATCTTCGTCCTCATCTTCGTTATCAGTATCTGTGATTTTTGTTTTTTTCTTTTTTGTGGATGATGGATCATCTTCTCCTGTAATTGAAAAGACAAAATTAATTGAAGAGTTAAATTTGATTTAATATTTAATTTTACATACCTTCCGAGTCACTGAGAACAACCCGTTTCTGTGCTTTCTTTCCCTTGCTTGTTGGTGATTCTGAGCCGCTGCGAGATCTGGATCTAGATCGTGATCTTGATTTAGAGACAGATCGTGACCTACTTCCTGATTTGCTGCGTGATCGCGAACGAGAACGGGAAACACTTCGGGAACGTGAGCGGGAACCGGAACGAGATCGCCGAGACCCTGATCTTGATCGACGAGAGCCGCTACGAGAACGAGATCTGGAACCAGATCTGCTGCGACTCTTGCGTGAACCGGAACGTGATCGCCTTGAGCCACTGCGTGATCGACGAGATCCACTGCGTGATCTGGAACGTGAACCAGATTTGGATCGACTACGTGAACGTGAACGCGAACCTGAACCAGAACGCGATCGTCTGGAACCGGAACGTGATCTTCTGGAACCTGAACGTGATCTTCGAGAACCGGATCCGGAACGTGATCTTCGAGAACCTGAACGTGATCGTCTAGAACCAGAACGTGACCTTCTAGACCCTGAACGCGATCTTCTAGAACCTGAACGTGATCTTCTAGATCCCGAGCGTGATCGAGAACGGGAACCAGAACGTGATCTTCTTGACCCCGAACGTGACCTCCTAGATCCAGAACGTGATCTCCTAGAACCTGATCTCGATCTACTACGTGATCTGCTACCGGAACGACTGCGCTTTGAGCCACTTCTTGAACGTCTAGACCCAGAACGACTGCGCCGTGACCCCGAACGACTACGTCGTGATCCACTTCGAGAACGTCTGCCAGGCGATGCGCTGGCAGAGCGTGATCTGCTACGACTTTTCGAACGAGATCTACTACGACTCTTACGTTCATTATTTACAGGACTACCGCTACGGCTGCGGCTTCTAGAATGCTCTCTTTCGGCTGACTCATCCAATTGTTTGCCATCCTCCGCCGTTGTATTTGGTGAACGCGATCGTGAGCGTGACTTACTAGACCTTGTTTGACCGGACGTGTTAGCGTCACCTTCGACTGAGGCAGATCTGCTGCGACTCCTCGATTTTCTTTCTTTCCCAGCTAAAGGTGATGCCGGTGTTTTTTCCGTCTCTGTGGGATTTTCTGTTGCACATTGTTCTTCTTCATTGTGTCCTTGAAAAATAGAATATCCGGAACATAAATAAAACATTAAGACATAACCTCAATAATGGCTGATGCGCTGCCACCACGGACAAAAGCAGCAGCGCATAAACCAAGAGAATATGAATTTTTATTTGGGTCTCACTAATTCCATGCAAATACGTACCATTCTCCACCGAAGGCATATTTTCTACAATAACTATTTTCTACTAATGCCGGAATGACCGGATTATAATGGAAAGTTCAAGAATTTCTTTGGATATTATAATTTTTCAACTTTTTTACGATTGTTAAACGCGTCTTACATCAATCGTTTTTCTTTCCATGAATGCTTGTTCTTCTTTCTCGATGCTATAGTTTACTCAGTTTACTCTCGAGTTAGTTGAAAACGTAACGTAAGCATATGATGATTGGAATAAAACCCGTTTACACAGGGGACATTAAATCCACTCAGTATACAAAATCTTAAGGCATGTGTATTTATAATAAATCTACTGTATTGTCATATATGATGCTACCTTGATTTAATTGATAATTATTGATTTTAACCATTTTTGCTACATTTCAAAAAAATGTTATCCTCCCGTGAGTAAATCATTTGTATTATGTGACTTTTCAGCGTTAGCTGAATTAAAAAAATATCAACTGAAAATGTAATAATTATTGGTATGTTTCCGAACTGAAAGAATGTGAAACTTTTTATTACGTTAACCATTTTTCCTTTATGATATCGAACAAATTGCAAAACTAGTAGATTCTTGCAGGTTCTGAAACAGAGCATATGTTGTATACAACGTGGGTACACAACGTGGCAGAAGAATACAGGTAGTCGCGTCGACACAGCAGCTGGGATAATGAACTGTCAAAACAAATTGGAATCGAAAATGTGGAAAGAAAAATATTGACATTTGTAATTCAATTGACGTCGTATAAGAAAACGTATAAAAATTTACTTATTTATGAGAAGATATTTCAAAAATTTTTACATATCAATGTTCCCAAGCGTTGATGCATCTACCTGCATTCTTCTACCATGGTACATAAGCAGCTTTAAGTCTTCGCATGGTATATTTTGTGACATATTATAAAATCTCAAATCTCTCAAATCCTGCCGTCGTTTCCCCTTATAATTTGACATTAATATGCCTAGCCACGAAGCCCAGCTGCTTATGTAACCTCACGTTTAGAATGGTAAATAAGAACAGCTTTATACCAATTTTGCCTGTATAGAAAACAGGTTCAGGTACAATTTTTTTCTTTTTCCGTCAAAACATATACTCAGTTTGTATATGTGCGTGCATTGTTTTGAATAAAAAAAACAATTTGGAGAAAATAGAAATGCACATTTTTCACTTAACGGGCAATAATTTTGGGATAAAATAATATTGTCCTATTATCTTGGAATCAATTTTGTGGAGAAACCCCAAAATACCATTCAGGTTTTGTGGGGTTTCCCCAATATATTAATTTTTGAAAAAATATTAAATAAACAATATCAATTTTTGCATGTTTAAAAGGTTTATTTGACACAATAACACTCCATTTTGCATTTTCCAACTTTTCTTGAAGTTAAGCAACCTTTCTTATTGAGCCATGCATACAAGGATTTCCAAAAATATACATTTTCACAATGAGATGTTGCCAAATTAATAGTATTGCAAGAATATTAACATATGAGCCGGACTTTGTTGTGAAATAAAAAATGTTATTAGGGATCAAAATGTCAAATGAAAATTTTTATTAAGAAATATTTTTCATATCATCGTTCCATAAAGCAAGCATCATGGTAGAAAAATACAGGTAGATGCATCAACGCTTGGGAACATTGATACGTCAAAAAATTTTAAAGTTTTTTTCAAATATAAGTAGTTTTTTATATGTTTTCTTATACGACGTCACTCGGAGGTTATTATAATTCCCGTTTTTCAACAATTTTTACAAATTTAAATAATTTTTTATTCAACATTTTCCATTCCAAAATTGGTTTGACAGTTCATTGTCCCAGCAGCTGCGTCGATGCGTCTACCTATATTCTTCTACCATGGCAAGCATCTAGCCCCAGTTATTTCAGTGAAATGGTCATATTCGTGATATTTTTGTCAATATAATTCGAAGACTTGGCATCTCTGGCAAAACAGTAACCAAAAACAAATAGACTAATGATGTAAAGTAATCGATACTCAAAACAAATATAATTTTGTTTTTCACAATTTGCGAAAAGTTAAGAGAGCTGGAAACGTTCCATACGGTTAAAAATGTAAATAATATTGTGGAAAATTACAAAACAGCAACATTTTTAAACTAACCAAAAGTAACGAGAAAAACAACATCTTTCTCCGTCAATAACAACACCAAACGACACAAATTGTTCGTGTCTCGTCAAGCAAAGAAATTTCTTTGTTGTGAAATTGGATAGATAGATATTTCTGTGTGTCGTTTTTCACAACACAGACACGCAAAAGACAAAACAAAAAGATGACGTCGAAGGGAAAATATTGTGGAATACCAGCTGGATTTGAGGATGACGACGACAATAGTTTGGATGGATTGTTATGCTCTTCACAAAATCTCAAAATTACTGTAGTTCCTGACATAACGACGGGTGCCGGATTAAATGGTGAAGACTTTGACAAGACCCTTAGTCCTGAAATGGACAATTGGTTTGAGGACTTTAAGGAGACATTTGGAAAATGTAAGCCAAGACATGAAAAGCCAAAAAGAGATAAGATTTCGTTGAAAATGTCTATGTAAAGCCCACCACCCATTACACATATTTCAGGCATATGAATGTATGTGTTATGGGTGGGGAATTCTGGTTTAGGCCCATATTGGCATAAGTTGAGTTTAGGGGCTATGCTTGGATTGACCTGAAATTTTTACCGCAGGTAGGTATTTGTAACCTGATTACGGCAATATAATTTTTTTGTGGGGGAAATACCCGGTTACCCGGTTATTCGACCCAAAAGTTCGGATACAACATCCGGTTTATATCCGGTTCTACGTAACCGATATCAATAATATGGGTATCATTTGAAAGCTTATGAAAATACCTATCCAACAAGTGGTCATATATGGGGTAACTGGAACCGGTTTCGGAGAAATTTAGGAAAATGTGCATTTTTGTATGAGTAATTTTTGAAAAACCCATAAAAACTCGAAAATGGACCCATTATAGGGTCTTAAAATCTATACACTATATTATAGCTAACACTATTGCCTTTCCAAAATGGTGTCATATGTGTTGATATCTTTTGTAGTTCCGAAGATATTGACTTTTAAATTCGTTACTTATGAAAGCAGTTTGAGTGAAGCCAAGTTTTGTGTCGGGTTTAACGTTCTTGTTAATCTGCTTTGTTTTTAATTTGGTGTTGTTAGAATATTATGGATCGCGTAGTCGGTGTTGGACATATCCCAGAGGAGAAAATCTTAAGCCGCGGCCGAAGGCCGGCTACTTACAAAAATTACAATTTTTAGAAAAACTATGGATCGCGTAGCCGGTGTTGGACATACCCCAGAGGAGAAAATCTTAAGCCCCGGCCGAAGGCCGGCTACTTTCGAAAATTACAGTTTTTAGGAAACTATTGATCGCGTAGCCGGTGTTGGACATACCCTAGAGGAGAAAATCTTAAGCCCCGGCCGAAGGCCGGCTACTTTCGAAAACTACAATTTTTAGAAAACTATTGATCGCGTAGCCGGTGTTGGACATACCCCAGAGGAGAAAATCTTAAGCCCCGGCCGAAGGCCGGCTACTTACAAAAATTACAATTTTTAGAAAAACTATGGATCGCGTAGCCGGTGTTGGACATACCCCAGAGGAGAAAATCTTAAGCCCCGGCCGAAGGCCGGCTACTTACAAAAATTACAATTTTTAGAAAAGCTATGGATCGCGTAGCCGGTGTTGGACATACCCTAGAGGAGAAAATCTTAAGCCACGGCCAAAGGCCGGTTGCTTAAAAAAGCTATAAAGGTCAAAGTCAAATGCATCTAGACTGGAGAAAAATATAATTTAATGAATTCTATCTCTTATATCTTCGGAACCACAAAAGATATCAACACATATGACACCATTTTGGAAAGGCAATAGTGTTAGCTATAATATAGTGTATAGATTTTAAGACCCTATAATGGGTCCATTTTCGAGTTTTTATGGGTTTTTCAAAAAGTACTCATACAAAAATGCAAATTTTTCTAAATTTCTCCGAAACCGGTTCCAGCAACCCCGTCATATGACCACTTGTTGGATAGGTATTTTCATAAGCTTTCAAATGATACCCATTTTATTGATATCGGTTACGTAGAACCGGATACAAACCGGATGTTGTATTCGAACTTTTGGGTCGAATAACCGGGTAACCGGGTATTTCCCCCACAAAAAAATTACATTGCCGTAATCAGGTTACAAATACCTACCTGCGGTAAAAATTTCAAAATGATCCGAGCATAGCCCCTAAACTCAACTTGCTCCCCCATATTTACATAGTCATGATTGTTATTTCATTGTTTAAAAACATTGAATTTAAAAGTTAATATTATTAATTTATCTGTAGGTAATCGCACTCCGGCAACACAGCATCAATTAAAATTGGTACTTATTAGAGATCCTCAACCACTGTTACAGGCATTACGATTATTTGCCTCAAGTCCAGGCTGTAATTATTTGAAAAATAAAAATATGGCATTATTTATACTAGAATCCGTGTGTGAACTTTATAAACAGCATCCAACTATAGAAGCATCCTGTGATGATAATACTCGTATGGTGGCTTTTAATTTTGTGAAAACTTGTGGCATTGTGCCACTCTATAAGGCTGTGACGGAAACGTATCAATTACACAAAATACAAAACTACTTGATACCAAAATTACAAAAACTGTTGAACGATAAGTTTTACAGAGACGTAAGTTATTGGGGAATAAAATTCCTGCCTATCTGGATTAATTAATTGTTCTTCCATTTCAGGCTGCATATTGGTCAATATTTTTAAATTGCACACATATATTTGGTTTATTTGATTTGCTATTGCCATTGCTGCTACAGGATAAAATTAATTTGGCCGAGGAGTTTTTAAATGTGGCTAAAGAACAGCAATTACCTACAGTACAATTTTTAGATTCTCTATTGGATCGTAAAAAGACTGTCTATGAAAATTGTGATGAAATTCTAAAGTAAGTTGTAAGGGATTCGTAAAATGGGAAGTGTTTTAAAGCAAAAATTCTATTTTGCTGTTGCGGATGTTTTTCAAAATCCGGTTTTGCAGATATTTTCACATTCCCCTAAACTCGAAATACACTATTCAAAGTACTTCCAAGTAGCTGAAGCTTTGCAAATTTTATTGAAGATATGAGATCAACTGCTAAAAGGCTAATCGGCCAAATCAATTCAATTTTATATATTTATTTTTACATAAATGTTTTACTAATACAAATTTCCTCCCAATTTCATTTCAGGAAATATAATTATTCCGATGTTAAACATAATATATTAAGTTACCGTCCTATGTCTAAACTAGTAACACGTTTAGCTAAGAAATACAACATTAATCCTGAATATACACCGAATTTAAAGTATTCTAAATCCTGTTCATACCTGCATTATTTATATCATAAATATCAAGAGGGTGGCATGAGTCTTGATTCGTGGCGTGAATTGGCACGAGAAGAGGCCAAGAAAAGTAGAGCTTTACAATTGGATCTAATAACTAGAATTGTAAATGCCGGCGATTGGGATGAAGCAAACTATTGGGTACAATTGTATAATATACCACTGGAAGAATGTCCACCACCATTACAAATGAAAATGGGCAAACGTGATACTGCTGATAACTTGAATGATTCCAGTGAATCGTCATGGGATGTTGCAACGACGACAACAACAACAACATCGGTGAAAACAAAAACAAAATACAAACATAATCCTCAAACCCCACAATTGCAGAAAGATGATTACTTGAAATTACAATTGCCAACGGAATCAATAATACTGGTGGACACAAAACCAAAGTTCCTTGAAATGTTACAATACCTAGAACAATTTTTACTTATCGGTTTCGATTCAGAGTGGAAGCCTTCGGTAAACAATGACAATCGTGTCTCACTCATTCAGCTGGCCACTGCGGAAAGGGTGTATTTGGTTGATTGTCTATCACCCAATCTGGATGATGAGTCATGGAAAATGATGGGCCGTAGAATATTTAATAATTTGGAAATTCTAAAATTGGGTTTCTCCCTCCACTACGACTTGCAAATGTTACACAAATCATTGCCTTTGCAGTTGAATTTACAGGCAACTTCGTGTTATTTGGATTTACGTGATTTATGGCGTCGTTTGAAATACATGCAAATATCACCATTTCCTTATCAGCAAATATCTGTGGCTGGCGAAAGTCTTTGTGCCTTGACGGAGATGTGTTTGGGCAAGAAATTGGACAAGTCCAATCAGTGTTCTAATTGGGCAAATCGTCCATTGCGACAGGATCAAATTACATATGCTGCACTGGATGCCCATTGTCTACTACAAATTTATCAAGTTTTAGCTGAACTATTGCTACGCATTGGCATTGATATCGATGTTCTTGTGGAAGAAATAACAACATCCAAGTCGGGGTATTTGTTTCGTAGCAAAGCCAAGAATCAATCTGGACCGAGTGCAACAGGTTATGCCAGAAATGCTCATCAAAATCTTAGTGAATGGGGTCATCACAAGCCGAAAAGTAATAAAGCCAAGTGAGTGAAATGTGACAGGGAGGATTATAAGATATAAATATTAAATATTTTCTTTTCAGATCATCTACCCAAACTATTAGGTTTCTCTGTGATTCAATGTTAATTGGCCTATCTAAAGAACTGCGTAAATTGGGCTTAGATTCCCTGGAGATTAATGAACATAAAAACGATACACAATTCTATATTGATTTGGCGCGCAATGAACAACGTATTGTTTTAACACGTGATTCACGCTATTTAATATTCTCACGAGAATTGGGACAAACTCAGTGCATGGATATGCCATGCGATGCTATTGAAAATCAAGTTATACAAATCCTGCAATATTTTCAAATTCATGTAGACGAACGACATCTATTCACAAGATGTCTGGAATGTAATGGTAATGATTTCGTACTGGCTAATCGTTTTGAAATGCAATTAATGCGGTTTGGGCAATTGCATCAAGACGATAATGGTAGCTTGAGTCATGACATAAAAGGGACACAAAAGTTTTGGAATTTGCATAAAATAAACGATAGCGACATTCAGACAAAAACAACACCAAAGGGAAATCCCATAAAGTTGAAACGCATCAAACCTTTTTATCTATACAATAAGGACTATTTTTATATATGTGATGTAAGTGTTTTTCATCCAACTTAACTTGTCAACTATTTAATAACAATACTCAATTTTCATTTTTACAGAATTGTGGACTTTGCACTTGGCCCGAAGCAAATAAATTAAATAAAGTTGCTATGAGTTATTTGTCGCAAACCCCAGCTGTGGCCGGTGCCCAGGGGACCAGCAGTACAGCAAATACATCTAATTGATTTTATGTCATACTGTTATGGATTAGTTTGAATCTCCCATTTTATTATAATGACATCTGCGCCCTTATCTAGCATTTCTGTTAGTGAAATGCTATTTTGGATTCCTTCTGAGATCTCAAATATTGAATCTCTATTAAAGTAAACAAATCAAAATTGAAGTACATATGTGATTTATCCTTTCAAATACAATTCCCTCCCATTCTTTTTCATTGCATTGTTAATATATCATATATACATGTGTTTACACTATTCTAGAGTTAGTACAACAAACAAAAATAACAATATATATAAATGTATGTACACAATTATCGATGTGTATGTTTCTACTGGATTGCAATAAATGGATTACCTTACATTTTTATTTCTATATTTAATTGTAGAATTATATATTGTATTCTCAGTTGAAAATGTTATATACTTATATCTGTATATTAGCGTAGTATATTGTGAATTTGTGAAACAATTACATATTTCAGTTGAATAAAGTTATAAATATATCTGGAAATTTAAAACAAAATCAGTAAAGTACGCGTAAATATGAAATTCCAAATATAATTTGGGGTGGATTTGCCTTTAAAATAACCATAAATGCAAGAGACGTTATAAGGGAAATATTTTAATTCTTGGATCTCCATTGGTCTGCACCGTTAGTGAGGGCTTTGATCAAACGTGGACCTTCTACGAAAAATGTTTTAAGATTTTTTATTTATTTGAAGTAAGTTTTTTTGAAGTAGATCATACCACCTATCAACATTTGGCTTTAGAGCAGTTTTAGTTTGGTTTCAGAGGGAACTAATAGATATGGGAGGCATATCCATCTGAATCGATTTTAACTAAATTTTACGGAGACATTTTAATCTTTTATGACAAATAGCATTACTATAGAGTGCACAACATGGAAATTTACATCCAGAAATCCACTCCATTTGGGTTGATATTAGCCAATTTTTGCACAATAAACCTGAAATCGGATTAAAGATATTTAAGAGCTATATACAAATATTAGCCGATCTCGATAAAATTTATATGGGACCTATATCCAAATGTAAAAGAGATCTTGAAAATATTTGGCAGAGGTATTTCTGCGCTGTATTTGATAACTGGTTCTAAATATCATGGAATGCATGTTACGCTTGGGGGGGACTTTAAACCCCAAATCGGATAAAACATACATAGAGCAGCAATAGCTATATCTGAACCGATTTACACCAAATTTAAAGTAATGGTATCTAGGATAAATTCAGTCGAAATTGCCAAAATTCAGACCATTTGGGCTGATATTAGCAATTTGGTGCACAATAAACCTGATATCGTATAAAGATATATATGGGAGCTATATCCTAATCTGAATTGAATTTGATAAAATTTAACAGAGGTATTTTCGAGCAGTATCTGATGTCCGGTACCAAATATTACGCATGTGAGGGACTTAAAATCCTAAATCGGATGAAATAGCCGATTTACACCATATTTGATTTACTTGCTTCCAGACTGAATTCTGTCATTTAGACTTATAGCAGCCATTCGGTGCACAAATAACCCGAAATTAGTTGAAGATATATGGGAGCTATATCTAAATCTGATTCGATTATCACTAATTTCAATAGGATTGATCCTTGGGCCAAAAAATATTGTTTGGAAAATTTCATCTCAATAGGCTTCCTTCTCCATGTTACAAACAAGTGCACAAAGACATAATACCCTGTATAAAACAAAATAAAATGTTATCGAATATTAAATTTTGAAGGATCGGAAAATTCTCTCTTGTTTATGCCAATCAGTTGATGTTTCCTATCTGGCTAATTTTATGAAATGCAGAAATATAATGAAGGCCCAATACTTGTATTCTACTTTGCGATTTAACAAAAACTGAATCAAAGTTGTATGCTTGCGGTTTCTTAATTTCTCGAGTGTGTGTGTCGAGTTTGACAAGCTTACAATTCTCTTCCCATTTTTCGTCCGTGGTCTGAAACAAGGAGCAATTAAAATTATCTATTTTTCTATTCCCTATGACAACTTGATCCGAGCTCACATACATTTAACGTTCTCTCACGATTAATAGAAAGCTCAATTAATCAGTTGATCGGTCGATTCCATCCGGTGCGGATGTTTAGTTCTAAGATCCTTCAGAAATATTAAAAAATCAAAGGAAAATGTGTTAAACAATTAAAAAAATAACAATTTTTAGCAAAACTATTAATTTTTGTATCCCCTAAGGAGAAATTAACAACGGTCTTTGTTTAAAGATATGAGTCGTGTGTTACTGCTAAGCGTGCCTTTTTTCTTGATATTTGTGCTTTTTTGCTACCATCGAGTCTGTGTCTAAAATAGAAAGAGATAGAAAGACTGTGTTTGACTAAATTGTGAAGAGAATGAGAGAGACTTACTTACTGACTTCTAATATTCACTTTGCATTTCCGTTGATTTTGCATGAGAAAAGGAGGAAGAGGAAATTAACAAATTAATTGTTCTCCAAACCATACGAAAAATATGAGAACAATAACAAAAAAAAAAAAAAAAAAAAAAAAAATAGAGAGCATTTAACCAAATCAAAATTTAAGTTGATTTACATTCTCTCTGGTGTATGTAAGCCAGTTGCTCGGTCGGTTCAATATGGAGCGGATGTTTAATTCGGCATTTTCTCCAAACAATAAAATAAAGAAAAATGTGCAATGTTAAAAACAATATAATACTACGAAATTGGCAAACGGTTACTTTTGCAAATCCGTTTTTCTCCAGACTCGATTGGGATTATTGCCCTTTTGCTAATACTTATATTCTAATTTGTATTTTAATGTGATCGAAAGTTGTATGTTTTATTTTGTGAAAAACAGAAAAATAATCTAATACTTGTATTCTAATTTGTGTTCTAATGTGATCGAAAGTTGTATGTTTGGTGTTTTGTTACTTCACGAGTGTGTTCGTGCGTGTTTCTTTCCGTTGCCATCTTTCGCCCGTTGTGTGAGACAAGGAGCAAAAACAATTATCTATTTTGCATTTGCAATTACAAATTTACCAAGCTCACAAACAAACATACAATGCTCTCTGGCGTTTTTTCGTAAGCTCAATTATTCAGTTGCTCGGGAGATTCAGAACGATGCGGATGTCTAATACCACAGTCCTTCAAATGCAGTGTAAAATCAAAGGAAAATATGTTAAACAATTTAAAATAAATAAAAATAATATAATAATAAAATAAAATCAATTGTTTAGTAAGTCTATCGGTTGTTGTATCGTCTGAAGAACATTTCCTTTACATTGGCTAGAAAAATTGATAAAAGCCGCTGTTACATGTGTGTGTTGCCGGTTACCCGCGCTTTTTCGTTGTTTTTGTGCTTTTTTGCTACCATCGAGTCTGTGTCCAAAATGGAAAGAGATAGAAAGATCGTGTGTGAGTGTCTAAAGTGGAGAGAGAATGAGAGCGACTTACTGACTTCCAATATGCATTTTGCATTTCCGTTGATTTTGCATGAGAAAAGGAGCCATAGAAAAAGAGTACCAAAATTGTTGTATTAATTGTTCTCCGAACCCCACGAAAAATTTTAGCTGATTCCCCTTTTCTCTCGTGAATGTTATTCAGTTGCTCGGTCGATTCAATGCGGTGCGGTTCAGCGTTTCTTTCATACAGTAAAATAGTGAAAGAAAAAAATATATTAGACGGTACAAAAAAAAAAAAAAAAAAAAAACACAATATTAACAGCAAGGCTTTGCATTTTCAAATTTGTTAAGAAATACGTATTGTACTTAATAGAAACGAGAAAAACTAGCAAAATCGTTGTCTAAAATTGCGAGTCGCATGTTACCGGTTACGCGCGTTTTTTGTTGGTATACCCAAATGAGTGCCTAAAGGAAATATAGAAGAAGAACAAAGTGGTGTAGTAGTGAATTGGCAATAAGATTACTTTGCATTTCCGTATTTCAATGAAATTTAAACAAATAGAATAACATTTGTGAATGAATACAAAAGAAAAATACGAGAAAACTATAGATGCATTGTTAAACTAATTTAGAAACAAAACTATCGAAAGTGAACATTCGTCGTTTTATAACTTCGTGAGTGCCTATGAGCTTATTTCGGCCGTCGTCCCCGTCCACCTCGTGTGTGTAATTGTGAAAAGAAGCAAAACTAATTCTCTGATCTCCAAATCCCCAATATCAAATTTAAAGTGGCAATCTCTCTCATTTCATTGTGGGCTCCATTAATCAGTTTCTCGGAGGACTCTCTATGGTATGAAATTTGGGAGAAAAGCAGGCAATTTTGGGAGGAAAACAGGCAAACTGAGTAGCTAAAGGAGAAGAAGAACAATAACGTACAATAGTGAAAATGCAAATGCAACAAGTGCAATACAATAAAAAAATGTATAATAGTTGAGAATGAAATAGAGAAGAAAATTTGAGAATTGCCTTGCCAAACTATCAGGAATGTATATTCGTCATTTTGTCGTGAGTGTGTTCAAGCTTATTTCGGTCGTGTGTTAAGCTTTCGTTTCGTTTTAATGTACTTTCACGTATTGGAAAAGGAGGCAAATATTTTTATTTAAATTTGAGAGTCGTGTGTCACTGCCCAATTTTGATTTTAGTTGATGTACCGACCTGTTTTCGTATCCTTTGCTTTCAAGGGTAATTATATCTTTTGATTACTTTTTATAAATTAAATGAAATAAAAAAATTTATGCAAAATGTTAAAAATTAATGCAAAAACGTTCGTAGGTCTATTGCTTCGCGAGTGTGTTTCGGTTGTCGTCCTATGTTAGCGTAGCGTGTTATTGAGAAATCATTTTGTTATTCGTTTCCCCCTCATTTACATATAACGTTTTCTCTCATTAAATGTAAGTTCAATTAAGAGTGTGCAAGCTTAATGTAAATATTTTTGTAAAATAACAAAAAAAAAAAAAAAAAACACTCCAGAAAAGATTTGAAAATTATCATAAAGAAAAAAAGAATTACAAGAGGCCTTGAATTTTATAATTGTCAAAACGTTTTTGATTAAATGAAAAAAATTGTATTCGTCTTCATTTGAAAAAATATATTGTGAAATTTTGGTATAACTGCGCTTTTTTACTCAAATACGAGGGAGAGATACAGAAAGTCCCATGCGCGAGTGCCTAACGAAAATCACACTACCAATATTTTGAATGTTAATGTCGCTTGAGTAAAATTAGATATTCGAATTTAAATTGTGAAAAATATAAAAAAAATTGAAAGGTTCAAAATTGCAAACAAAATTTTTGGTTAAAAATATTTTCTTCCTAACTGACAAAAATAAAGCCAATTAGATGTTGAATAATTACGTCGCGTGTGTAAAACTTGTCATAGGATAACTTATTTTCATCGTCGTGTTCAAATCTGTGGATTGGATTGCTTTCTTATATGTCAAAAAACTTCTGCGAAATTTTTTCATCAAACGATTTTTATATCAGTGAAGAAGGTAAGTGCGTTATTTCTTAAAATTTCTTAAATCATTAAACGATATCCACCGTAAAAAATAATTACATTTTTAACCTTTAAATATGCATGTTCTTAAAAATTCTTGTAATTCCTAATGACAGTAAAATTTAATTTTTCTTTTTTAGGGAATTTTATAAAAAATCAAATAGATTCAACAACATAATGTTTATAAAATGACATTAAGAAAAATCTATTATCGCATTTCGATTATATACTCGTAGGTTTTTTGTGTCGGGTGGGAAGCAAAATATATTTAATAAGGTGGTCCTACAAATGGATCTGTTGAGATATTACATTTTGACTAGCGTGTTGGATCTAGGGTTTAAATATAGTTTTTATAAACAGTTTTTCTTCAGACATTGATCTCAATTTTTAAGAATACATATTTTTGTTCTAATCAGAATTTATACATTGTGATACATATATATATACGGAACTATTTTCAAATAGATGAATGGAATTTCTTGACGAAGGGTTACATTTTTCATATCGTAATGAAAACAATTATCTACCCCGCACTCCATCAGTGATTCTCATTCCAAATTTCAGAATTCTAGCTCATCCCGTCTGTTTAATACAAGGTATTGAAATTTAGTACATTTTAGTACTTTTCGTACCATTTTAATACGAATTTTCAAAAACCCTGCCTCATCACACGCATAAGCACCAAGACTGGTCCTTGTGCAAAGTTTCAAGATTATACCTTTTTAGAACTTTTCGAAAACTTAATTGGCTTTTCCAAGAACCAAATTCTAGCTTGTCCCATTTGTATTCAATTTATAGTACTTTTTAGCACATTATGTACTCTTTTAGTACAAATTTCCAAAAACCCAGCCGTATCACACGCCTACGCACCATGCAAAAATTCAAGATTCTAATTTTAGCCCTTTCGATTTTCGGTCAGTAAGTCAGTTTTTTCACTAATTTTTTTGTATGTATACATTTAAGCGGACATATAAAGTTTTCAGAACTATTATCCAACTATGCTTACAATATTCTCATCTAGTACGCTATTTTTTGTTTTCCAACTTCGCAGTAGAGAAAAGTTAACGTTAGATATGTAGCTTCGTTCTTGATTTCCGCTGGCATTAGTAAATGGGATAGCAAAGCCAACAACCTGCTGATGAATAAAATGACTGTGTTCAGTTGGCACAATAGTTTATAACAGATGGTGCTCCGTAAAATGACAGTGAAATACGCATATTCGTATTAGGCATTCGTATTATTAGTCATTCGTATTATTATTAGGGTACTCCTTCTTTTTTTACAGCCCACATTATTTGAGGTAGAGCTTCAAAATTTGGCACAACAATGTGTACTACGTCTAGGATGGTTTGTATTGAAAATCATATGTATCGGTCCACGTCTTGGTATAGCCGCCATATAACGGTACCTTACGATATTCGGTATTTAATTTGATTTTTGCCACATTTATTTACGAATTCGTCTAAAAATTGGTGTTAGTAGGTCATAATAGGTTCTAGCTCCAGTGGCGAAACATTGTATGTATAAGTCCACTTTTTAATATAGCCACCATATAATGGTACCTCCCGATATTCGTTTTTTGATGATTTTTACCAGATTGTTCCACTGATTTGTCTAAGAATTGACATTTGTAGTTCGCAATGGGTTCTAGCTCCTGTGGCGGAACATAGTATATATAGGTCTACGTTTTGGTGTAGCCCCAATGTTACGTTACTTCCCGATATTCGGTATTTTGAGGATTTTCGTCACATTTTTTCACTGATTTGTCTTAAAATTGGTATTTGGGTTCTAGTTCCCACTTTATGTTTTTTTCAAACACGTTTGAATTCAGATAATTTTGTTTTCTTTACCCAAAGGCAGAGCATATTAAAAGTTTGGCCCGGCCGAACTTAATGTTTTTACTTTTTATTTTTTGTTTTGAAGTACCTTGACGTATTTCCAACTCGATGTGGTCTTAATTTAATATTTATGCATAGAACAAATTGTAAAAAAAAGATATACAAACCTTATAACGCTAGTCCCAAGTTTTGGTGTTTACAATTTGGTATTATAAGTTTGTACGGAGTAAAATACTACGTCGCAAAGATATTTAGTGTTTTTACATGTATAGCCTCCATAATGCAGTAATTTTGGTCCTACATGTTAGGGCATTCCTAACTTGTCGTTTGGAACTTTGTCGTAAAAGGACTGTTGTTTGGAGTTTCGGGTTGATAACGAGATGAGGACCCAATCGCCAAGATTTTTCAAGGTTTTTACAGGTATAGCCTCCATATCACCCATGGAGGTCATCGAAATTGTGAATTCTCCATGTAACGATTAATGTTAATTTAGTTACACTTCATATATACCTTTTGATTCAAATAAAACAACATTTCCTTAAAAACAAATATTTTATTTGTCGCTTCTTTTATTCTCTATAATGAGGAATATCATTTACCTCATATACTTCATTATCGCTACACAATGAAGGATAGGTGGCATCAGGACCTGTGGTACATTGGCTTGCAGTTACACCAATACCGTAGACCGGCAGTCCTTCAATGTTGATATAGGAATAGTTACAGGTTAATATCTGCTGTACAATACCCTTTTCACCAGTTTGTTGCAGAATGGCACAGCCCATGCTTGTGCCCATTTCTTGCACCATAGCGGTGAAGGAGCCAATTACTGTGCTGTAATTTCAAGGTACCCACAAATTATTTGCCATATTTTAGTGATTTAAAATTCATTCTCACTCACCCATCAGTTGGAGTTCTATATTCGCGAATATCTTTCATTGAAGCCAATTTATATTCATCAAACCATTGATCGATTTGATCGAGTGCCGTTAAGCCAGCATCAAACTGATTATTCCAGAAATAGCGAACAGCAATATTTTGTCCGGCAAAATTAAATTCGTCGGTGTTACGACACAAATCGTGTTTAGCTTCACACTGTTTGACATTCAACTCAGCCAGTTGAGCCAATTCATCATTCCAATGTGTTTTGGCCATGCGCGATGCTGGTGCAAATCGATCGAAGCCACTGGCAACCAGATTACGATATTCATTATGCTTACGAATAATGGCATTGCGTAAACCTTCGTCGATGGGTACGATTTTGGCATCTGGGTAACAGGTAGGTGCATATTGCTAGAAAGAGAAAATAATTCCATTAAAGAAAATTACAAAATATGCTTTAGATGAGATGAAGGGAATCTTTACATTAACTTCCAAAAAAGGAATTTTTTCTAGGCGAGTTGGGGGAGCCGAGGCGAAGGTGGGAGTCTTTACAGAAAAGCTGAGGGGAGTGTTTATAGACGAGTAGTGAATGGAGTTTTCATAGAAGATTTGAGAAGGGTGTCTTTCCATAAACAAGTTTAGAAGGTCTCTTTATCGACGAACTTAGAAGGGTTTCTCAGCATAGATGAAGCAAAAGGGAGGCTTTTATGGATTATAAAATCCTTTCAGAGATTGGGAGTGGCCTTTTTGGCAACCAGTGGTTGTTGTTATTGACACTTAACAAAAAGCTACAAATTTAAATTAGTGTGTTTTTCCAGAAAATTATCTATGCAGGCCCAGGTTTTCGTATAGCCCCCATATAATTGCAGATTTTGAAGATTTCAGCGACACTGTTTTGCAGATTTCAGCGACACTGTTCAACGGAATTGTTTTAAATTTCGTATTTGAAGTTCGTAATGGGTACTATAGCCTATGACAGAAAATTATCCGTTCTGATCCAGGACTTCGTATAGCCCTCTAATATCGGTACCTCCCTATATTCGGCATATTGATGATATTAGCTACATTATTTACCGGATCTTTTTCAAATGTCGTATTTGCACTTCGATATGGGTACCACAGCCTATGACAGAAATTTGTTTTTAACTTGTTTTTAATTTTTCTTTTGAGAGGAGTTATCGATTTTTATTTTAGAGCGAAATTAACTTCGAGTTCCTTGATAAAATTAAATCCAATTTGCGCTAAAATCTTCCACTTTTAAAATTCAATTGTTTAAAAATTAGTTTCTTTTCATACTCACCCCATTATTGTTACATCCAATGTGCCCCTCTAGGCCATAACACAAATCTGGATCACAATAATTCGTTGCGGAACAATAATTGAAAATTCCCAAAAATACCACAATCGAACACAATTTACTGAAGGCCAACATTATTTCCGTCTATTTGAATCTCTATTGACAAATGTTCGAGAAATAACAGATGTTTATACTTTTATACTTATTTTATTAAAAAAAGAGAGAAACAAAACATATTTTCCATAATATTTCATATTGTTGCGAAAATATATTTAAGCAATTGTTTTAGATTTCATTAGAGCCAGGGCATTGAATAGAAATTAAGGTAAATACATAAAACGTACATCAAACAAATCGTCTTTTGTTTCAATATTTTTAACTGTAGGTTTATTCAAAATGACGTTCGTAAATTTGATGAGGCGACATTTACAGTCATACCTTAGTAAGTTGAACCAAATATAATTGGGTTAACAGAGCGAATCTTTTAGGATATAAAATCATTTCTTGGCGCCATTTTGAGAAAACTCTAAACAACAAAGGCCTTAATCTACCTATTTTTACAAGATACCAATTTATTTTGGTAAACAAATATTGAAATATTTCTGTGTCGGAGCTGGCCAATTAACCGAATTATTGAGGTTAACATGTACCAAGATCAGACGCATGTATTAAATGTGGAAACAATTTAACGATTTTAGATTTGATTCATATTTTTCAGGTCTCTTAAGAAAAATCAAAATATCTCTTTATTTTAGAAAACAATACAATAAGTCAGTCCTAGCAAAGACGTCAACTATTCTGTTAATTGCTGCTGTAACTCATTCATCTTTTTGGGCATTTTTACTATTTTACCAAAAGTGAGCCCTATACGACTAAATTTTCTCGGATCATAAGCAAAGAGTAGTGAAACAACTGACCAGACGAAACGGCTGAAGCTAGAATATTGACATTTTGCATGAGGGTTATTCTTGGTGGGTAGTCAGGTTTTTGGAAATTCGTACTAAATAAAAGGGTGCGAAAATTACTAAATATTGAATACTTTGGGACAAGCTAGAATTTTGAAATTTTTAATAAGAGTCACTGATGAAGTGCAGGATAGATGTACCAAAGAGTTTTTCTTAATTCGAACTTTAAAGTTCCGAAAAGTTCTAAAGTGATACTCAGCTTGGTCTGAGAATCAGGGTTGGAAAGTAAGTTTAATAGATGAAGGTGGTACTAATAGTGTGAACTGTACTAAATTGTACTAAATTTGGAACAGTTTGGTTAAGGGTGAACGAATAAGGCTGGAATTTTGAAATTTTGTATTGGCGTCCCTGTTGGTGGTAGGTTTGTGATAAAATGGTGACTTTGGAAATATGATCTATAAGTGCACGAAAAGACCCAAATAGCACTGTGTTTGGTACAATTTGATATTACATGAACAGATAGAGCTTGAAATCTGAAATTTTGTATTATGCAATTGGTTTTGAAAATGTGTAATTGTACGAAAAATACTAAATGGTACTACCTTTGGTATTGGGTTAAGGGATAGCGCTGGAATCCTCTAAATTGATATTGAAGTCTCTGTTGGTATCTGGAACTTACATACGGAGGCTGTTTCGAAAATGTGTCTTACAAAAGTACGAAAATTCCTATATTGGGTGAAGCGATAGAGATAAAATTCTGCAATTTAATATTTATATTACAGATGATATATGTGTTTGAGATTTGGCGGTGGTTTGGAAATGCGTCCTATATTTGTATGAAAAGCACTGAATTGTACTAACTTTTGTATTGGGTGAAGGGATATTACTGGAATCCTCAAATTTGATATTAGAGTCTCTGCTGGTATCTTGAATTGAGATACTGGGTGAATGGATAGAGCTGGAATCCAGAAATTTTATATTTAGTTCCCTTTTGGTATCTGGGATTGAGATATGCAGGCGGTTTTGGAAATGTTGGAAAAGTACTAACTTTGAGGTCTTTGTTGGTATCTTGAATAGAGGTAGGGAGGTGATTATGGAAATGTGTACTATAATGGTAGGAAAGGTACTAAATTGTACGAAATTTTGTGTTGGGTGAAGGAGTTGATAACGTGAAATTTTATATTGCAATAACATGTCGACTAAAATTGTACTAAATTTGGTAATGGGAGGATATAAAAGAGCTAAAATCCTGAAATTTAATATTAAAGTCACTGTTGGTATCTGGGGTTGAGATATGGACATTGTATTGAAAATACATATTATAATTTTTCGAAATGTACTAGATGCTACTAAATTTGGTATTGGGCGGAGAAATAGAGCTGAGTGACAGACAAAGAGCAATGTACAATGGTTTTATAATATCCTTCTCAGTAATGGTTCAAAATGAATGGTTTTGAAGGCCTTTTAGTTTAGGAGGCAGAATTGTCCTATTTTTCGTTCCGATAAAAGGAAAAACTTTAATAATATAAACCTAGAAAGTTTCAATATTTAGTATGATCTATGAAGTTTTGATTAAAAATTTTTGTGAAACTGAACAAATTTTGCACTTTAAGCACTAAGAATGCCTAACACGAACTTTTTGCAACGAATCAACAATTTTAAGGTGAACTTTTCGCTGACGAAGTAATGGGCACTTGCTAGTGAGCTATAGAGATGGAAATTTCTTCTGGAAGTAACTCTTTCTTTAACTTGAATAGGCAATTTTCTGTCACAGAGGTAGTTTTCATTACGAACCCCAAAAACCAAATTTTGAAAAAATTATGTAATCTCGATGGTACCTAAATTGGGCGATATTTTGTAATTTTTTTTATTACTTCCCTAGCGGTTTGAGTCCCAATAGGTTAGTACCAGAATATTTATATTTTAATATCACGTTTAAGAAATAAGCGGACGTCTTTCACATTTTATGCTTAGAGAGAGAGAGAGAGAGATCCAAACAATTACACAAGTTATTTAATAGACTATTCATAAAGAGTGACTGTAGAAGATTACTATTTCGTGATGAGTTAATTATTATAATTATTATTGTTACATTCGAAAATGTTGCAATTGTCATAAGAAGCGAAACTAATCCAAATCAATTATTGCCGACGGAATCTAGATGATAATATGAAAACAACTGGATGAATCAGAAGTAGGGCAGTTGCCCAAAGTTCTTAACTTGATCGCCCCAGGTCTGGTTCTGCTTTCAAAAATATCAGGCTAAGATGCCAGAAAGGGTTACACATACATAACGACACCACTTTGACGTCGATAGTGAAGAAGCTAGAATGTCTGAACCATTTTGCCAAACTTAAGTTAATACTGGTTTTTACTGCATTTATTCCCAAATGGTATTTATGCAAATAAGAAAGAATGAACATTAAAGTAGGAAATACCTATATTTGAGGCATGTTTCGATTTTAGGTCTTGTGAATACATGTTATTATGGGACTAGACTATATTTTTCATTTACAGAACACAAAGATGTATAATTTGCATTCGTACCCGTTGAACACTTGCTACCACTTCTTCCCGTTTCGTAGACAGGTTTATTAAATATATTAGTATAAGCATAATTACAGGCCAATAATTGGGTGTTTCTACCATTTTGCAAGGTTTGATGTACAATAGCACAACCGACATGTGTAGATTTTTCCTGAATAATGGCAGTGAAGTGGCCAATTTGTTTGCTAGAAAGAACAAGACAACTGTTGTGAAATATGTCGAATGAATATAGTCACAATAAATACCCATTATCCGGAGTTCTAAAACTTTGAATGGCATCGAGCGTAGCATCTTTGTACTCGTCAAACCATGTCTGTATTTGATATTTTAAAGCCTTGTTTACATCTATGGCAACACTTGAACGAATTTCGGCAAGATTTTGTCCCGCATATTTAAATGCATCTGTATTGCGACACTCATCGTGCACCATTGCACATTGGCGGACATTGAGTTCGGCTAATTTTGCCAATTCTGCATGCCAACGCATAGTGGCCATACGTGCAGCTGGCTTAAAGGGTGAAAATCCTTTGGCTATTTGATTACGCAGCTGATTGTGTCGATGAACAATGAAATTTCGTAGAGCCGGAGTCATTGTAACTACTTTTGGATTTTGACATTGCGGACTGAAGGCCTGAAAATTGAATGTTCGTTAGAAAAAAAATATAAATAAATCTGCAATCTTACCCCATTATTATTGCAGGCAATATGTTTCTTATCTTTACACAAAGTCTTACTGCAATAGTTTGTTGACTTGGCTATATTTAAAATACTCAAAACTAATATAAATATTGTAAATAAGTTGAAGTTCGAGTACATCGTTGTATTTCTAGTTGAAGTTCGTCAACTGTTGAAGCAATTAATATTTCCTACTCACGCCAAAGTAAATATAATGAATATCGCGGTAATAACACCTGTATTTATAATGGATTTTTCTTTTGTAATATCCAGAGCATTGTAATGAAATAGGGTTATCACATAAGTATGTACGTATTACTTCACTCGCCCACAACGAAGAGAAATTGGGGTGGTGTGTATAATTATACCATCATCCTTATGGCTACTTCTAAAAGGTGTCCCACCGAAATAACTCTTTTAGAACCTAAATTTCCTTGAATGACATTTGGAATGGACTTAGACATGTATGTCTGATGGCTGGTTGGTGCTCAAGATAGCTCTTGAAGGGAGTATCCGATTTGGCCCAAACTTGGTACATTATAATATTATTGTCAAACCTAGATGGCATTCGAAGATGCACAGGAAGAGAAAGCCTAATCCGATTTTGATCCAACTTTGCAAATCTTAATATTTGTATCAGTGCTAGGTTAAGTGCGAAAATGGAGAAAGGTTCGAAATTTTGAATAACTATAACTCTTATAATATGTGATGTAAGAATCCGATTTTCTTCAAATTACACTCATCACAATATTTTTATTAACACAAGGTCTGGTGTGAAGATGGAATATATCAGTCCACTCCTTCTGGTACCTCCCCCACAAAGGGTCAAAGTTTTGAATAACCAAAACGATCATAAAATTCGAAATAATCACATTTCACACATGCCATTATTTCTACTTACTGCTGTGAAGATGGGATATATCGGTCCACTCCTTCTAGTTAATTTTTTGAATAATCAAAACGATCACAAAATCCGAAATAAGCACCCGGCTATCTTCATATTTCACACATCCTATTACTTCTACTAACACAAGGTCTCCTGTGAAGATGGGAGTATCAGTCCACTCGTTCTGCTACCTCCCCACAACGGATCAAAATTTTGAATTACCATGATGCTCATAATAGGCGAAGTTAACAAAGGCGAAGTTAACAACACAAGATCTAGTGTGGTGATGGGTCCACTCCTTCGAATACCCCTCCCACAAAGCGTCAACATTTCAAATATTAATAACCCTCACAAAATTCCAAATGAGTATATGATTATTCTCAAACTCTCAATATTTTTACCAGCGCAAGATCTCATGTGAATATGAAATATGACATTTTGTAGATTCGTACCAAAAAGATACGAAAAGTATTAAAAATTGAATACTTTGTATTGGACGAACAGAATAAGCTAGAATTCTGAAATTCGGAATGAGAGTCACTGATGGAGATGTACCAAAGGGTTTTTGAAAAATCGAGCTCTAAGTTTACGAATGGTTTGAAAATTGTACTAAAGTTTTAAAATGGTACTAAAGTTCTAAAATGGTACTAAAGTTATAAAATGGAACTATTTGGTATTATGTGAACGGATAGAGCTGAACCCTTTAAGCTTGTTATAAGAATGTTGGACGGTTGGAAAAAAACTTATATATACGGTTATGGAAATGTGTACTATAGTTATGGAAATGTGTACTAAGTGTGCGAACTGTACTAAATAGTACTAAATTTAGAACAGTTTTGTTTAGAGTGAACAGAATTTTGAAATTTTGTATTGGGGCCCCTGTTGGTGGTAGGTTTGTGATAAAAAATGATTTTGCAAATATGTACTACAAGTGCACGAAAAGTACTAAATAGTACTATATTTGGCACAATTTGGTATTGGGTGAACAGATAGTGCTTGAAATCAAAAATTTAGTATTTCGGTCGCTGTTCATGTCTAGCATTGACATATGGAGCGATTTTGGGGTTGTGTATTATAATTGTACGAAAGTACTAAATTTGGTATTGGGTGAAGGGATAGAGCTTAAATTCTGAAAATTGATATTTAGATTACTGATGGTATCTGTGTTTGAGATTTGGTGGTGGTTAGGAAATGTGTCCTTAATTTATACGAAAGGTACTAAATTTAGTCTTGGTTGAAGGGATGGAGATATCTGAAATTTGATATTTAGATTATTTTTTTTTGATATATTAATACTAAAAGTACTAAATGGAACTAAATTTGGTATTGGATGAAGGGATAGGGCTGAAATTCCAAAATTTAATATTGAGGTCTCTGCTGGTATCTTGAATTGGGATATGTAGGTGTTTTGGAAATGTGTACAATTTTTGTACGAAAAGTACTAAATAGTACTAAATTTGGTATTGAATGAAGGAGCTGAAACCGTGAAATTTTATATTGCGATTGTAAGGTGGACTTTTGGCTAAAAAAAAGTCGTGGACACTTGCTACTTTTTTGATATGAAAAGAAAATGGACAAAATCAAAAATAATATAAAATTGATCCACTACTTATGTACCTTCCTGGCAAAAGTTCACATTTTTGAATAGTTATTTTCGTAAAATGTGAAACCTGTGCTCGCTTTTCTTCAAACTTAGCACTTTTAGAAAGTACTATTTATTTCAATGCTTTAGCGAATCAAGATCATCTATTTTGGGTGTTTAAAAACGATTTCGTTAGGTTAATGTAATGCGATGTCCGTCTGTCTGTGGAAATCACTCTGGCTTCCGAACGAATTGAAGTAGGTTGATAAAATTTTACTCAGATGTGTCTTTGGTCTGCAGGCCTTTTTGTATTGAAAATGGGCTATACAGGTCCACGTTTAAGTATTGCCCCCATATAACTGTATCTACCTATATTCGATATTTTTATGCTTTTGGCGACATTGTTCACCAAAATTGTTTCCAATTTCCTATTTGCAGGTTGTAACAGGTACTATAGCCTCTGACTATCAATTGCCTATGAAGGTGTCAGTGAAAATGGGCTATATAGGTCCACGTTTAAGTATAGCCCCCATATAACTGTATCTACCTATATTCGATATTTTTATGCTTTTGGCGACATTGTTCACCAAAATTGTTTCCAATTTCCTATTTGCAGGTTGTAACGGGTACTATAGCCTCTGACTATCAATTGCCTATGAAGGTGTCAGTCTTCGCATAGCCCCATATAACAGTACCTCCCTATTTTCGGTATTTTGACGATTTTAGGTACAATATTCACGGGAATTGGTTCAAATTTTGTATTTGAAGAAAATTACCTATGCAGGTCCACGTCTTCGTACAGATCCCAAAATAGCGTTAACTTCCTATATTCGGTATTTTTAAGATTTTAACAGCATTTCTAACAGATTCTTTTTTTATTTATTTATTTTTTTTTTTTTGAAATTTCCAATTTCTTTCCAAATGGTGGAGGGTATTGAAAGTTCGGCCAGGCTGAACTTAGCCATTTTTTAATTGTTTTAATTTCCGTTTTATTTTCAATAATTACTACTAAATGTCACATTCACGCGAACTTATAATTACTCTTAACAAATATTTAACTAACTAAACTACGAGCTTAAACGTTATCACAAATACTATTTATCATTGTGTCGGCATCTGCGAAGAGACATCATTAATTTCTTATATCATTAAATGTGGCATTCTCCGCGTCTTCTTCGTCATTCTCTTCAATTTCATATTCATAATTGGCTTCTTTCCAATCGCATAGCGCCGGATATTTATCACTTATATTGTAGGTACATTTAGAAGCTGGTGGTCCACTCTGGTAAATGGGTTCCGTATAGATGTTTGTGTAATCATAGTTGCATGTCATCAAGAATTTCGTGTCCATCGGCTGATCCGGTTCACGATAACGAATTGCGGCGCAGCCAACGCGGTGCACACGATCGGCAACCATTTGGGTGAAATGACCAATTTTCTTTCTAAAATAGAAAAATTCGGATTTTTTAAAATATTGAAATTATAATCATCTAATAAAAGAGGTAAAACGGCTTATGTCTGTATATGTATGCACAATTCGTACGTTTTTTTTTCTAATTACCTAATCTGCAATGAAAATACATACATATATGCATACGTATATGCATATTGTATTGAATTTTCATTTTATATATCCACCCAAACTTTTCACTCTTTACGTTTATGGGTAAATAGTAAAAGTTTAATATTTTGTACAACAATGGGAAATTAAGTGTTGCAAACTGTCATGCTTCGGGGCATCTAAACAATAGAGTTTTATTTCAATAGAATTGTTTGTGTAACACCTATAGCATTTAATGATTTGACGCCTGCTACTTTTCCGGTCTGCTTGTAAAACAAAGCAAAAACTATTTGCTTGGCTTTGATTGAATTGTAACAGTTTAATTACAAATTTCGTACATAATTGTATGCATTTAAATTATAGGAATACATGAAAGTTCCTTTGAGAATGTATAATGGGAAAATAATTTAAGTTTCTGTGTGACCTTTATCGCTGACACTTATTGTATCGAGACTTCTTCTAGTCTTCAAACAAAAAAAAATTCTTACATATTAAAACTAGTATCATTCCAAGAAACACTCAATTAAGTTGGAAAATATAACTTAAACTTTCTAATTCGCATTTCAGGCAGGATATACCAAGATATTAGATGATGCTTTCGAATTTGAGCCGACTGAAGTTTTGTAAAATTAAAGTTCCCACTTATAACGTTTTGCATCCCTGATAAACATTATTAGTACAAACGTACCATCACTTCATGTTTAGAAGAAAAAAATTAAAAAACAAATCAAAATTATATTCTTTGGGATAAAAGAGCCATTGTTTTAAATGTCTCCTGAGGAGAATAACCCCATACAAGAAAAACTAAAACACGAATGAGATAATTTTTGGAAAATGTTAAAATGTGTATGAGGTACCAGATATAGTCGATCGAAGTATTCCATAATACTCCATCTAATACAGATAAAGATATTGGTATGTGCAAAATTATAATAACATCGAACATTTATATCCAATTTTATGCGAAATCATAAATGTCATATTCATCTCCTATTACTGGTTGAGAGAAATATTTAGATATAGCAAGTTGTAAAGAATCGATTACTTTCGTTTCCCAGGTATTGCAAATTGTGATATATATCATCTTCATAACAGACCTTGTGCTAGAAAAAAGATTGTATAAGTGAAATTTGAAAACAGTTGGTTCCATTTTCGCTTTCTTTGAGTGTTTCGTTTTTCGATCTCTACCATCTTTACAATAGATCGGATGTTGATAGAAATATTCAGATGTGTCAAGTCTCAATGGAATCGGATGTTAATTCCGCGTTTTTTGAGCTTTGCGGATATTCAAATTTTTTACCCTTTGTGGTGGAGGTACCAGAAAGAGTGGACCGATATATCTCATATTCACAGAAGATCTTGAATTAGTATAAATAATGGGATGTGTGAAATATGGTGCTTATTTTGGATTTTATAATCGTTCTGGTTATTCAAAATTTTGACTCTTTGTGGAGGAGGTATCAGAAGGAATGATTCGATCTCTACAATCTTTATAACAGATCTTGTTTTGATAGAAATATTAAGATATGACAAGACTGAATAGAATCGGATGTAAATTTGGCGTTTTATGAGTTTCATGGATATTCAATATTTTGAACCTTTGTGGGTGAGGTACCAGAAGGAGTAGACCGATATATCCCATCTTCACAGCAGACCTTGTGTAATTTGAATACAATCTGACTCATACGTCACATTTTATAAGAGTTGCCCCTTTGTGCGGGAGGTACTTAATAAAGTGGACCGATATTGTCCATTTCGCACTTGACGTATCACTGATGGAAATATTAGGATTTGCAAAGTTGGAGCAAAATCGGATCATCAATTTTGTATCTGTGCAGTAAAAATTAAAAAAAAAAAACAAAAAAACAGTAAGGAAAAGTCAAAAGTCGGGCGGGGCGATTATAAGATACACCACTATGCATACTTAGTAGAGCTCCCGTAACAAAAGAATTTATTTGAAGTAGATCATACCACATATCAACACTTGGCATCAGAGCAGCTATAGTTTGGTTTAACTAAATTTTAATCTTTTATACCAAATAACAATGCTATAGAGTGCATGATATCACTTCGAGAAGGATTATATTTAAAAATATATATAAGAGCCTAGTTCCACAAAATTTAACCGGAAATCGGTTGAAGATATATATGGGACCTATATCCAAATCTAACCCGATCTTGATAACGTTTGGCAGAGGTATTTCAGAGCTCTATAAGATATCTGGTACCAAATATCATTGTTCTCGAATGCATATTACTAATGTGAGGGACCTAAACACAAAATTGGATGAAACATATAAAGGGTGAGATAAAAAACTGCAACAAAGTCACTCTGCCCGAATGTTGCTTTGCGGTATTTTGGCCCATTCCCGGCGAAGCGCTTGCTTGAGGTGATCGCACTTTGGTATTTTTTAGTGCCAACCTTGCTTTCCAAGATACTCCAGACACAATAGTCCAATGGATTGGTATCCGGAGATTTTGTGGCCATTGTGCGCTGGAAATGAAGCGAGGAACCTCATTTTGTAACCATTCTTGGATGGCGCGTGCTGTGTTCGATGGTGCTGAGTCCTGTTGGAATGTCATCCAAGTATCTGATTTGAACCCAGGTTCCCTCCTTCTGGTATTTCCCTCACAAGAGGTCAAAATTTTCACAAAAAATAATTTATCTCATAGAACAAGAAAGGATTATAAGATTTTTTTTCAATCTTCGCAAATTCTAATATTTATGTCAGTGACCTGGCAAATGGAAAATAACGGTCCATTCCATCTAGTGCCTCCCCTACAAAGGGTTAATATTTTGAATAATTATAATTCTTATAAATTGTAAAATAAGAATAAGAGATTCGCACATTTCAATATTTCTATTAACACAAGATCTGGTATTCAGAAGAACACTTATTCTGGTACCTTCCCCACAAGTCAAAACATTGAAGAATCTCGCTGCTCATTAGAAGCGACATGAACATCCGAGTCTTTCCAAATTCGGCACATTCCAATACTTCTATTAACACAAGATCTGGTGTGAATATGGAATATATCGAAGCACTCGTTCTTGTACCTTCCCCACAATAGGTCTCAAAATACTAAATAACCAAAAGGTTAAATGCAAAATAAGCATCTGATTCTTTCTAACCTTTACACATTACAATATTATTACTAAAGTGAGGATGGTGTGAGTATGGGATATATTGGGCCACTCCTTCTGGGACCTCGTCCACAGAGGGGTCGAAGTTTTTAATAACAAATCGCTCATAAAATCCGAAAAAAAACCGATTCTCTTCAAATTTTACACATCACAGTATTCTTACTAACGTACAATTTGGTGTCAAGATAATAGATAACGTCTACCCCTTCTCGTATCTCACTATTTTTCAATATTTATAGCTCTCATAGCTAAGCTTAAAGGTTAACATTTTGATTAATTTTGGATTTTCTAAAAATTTTGCTCATCCCAATATTTTGCAAGTATTGCTCATCCCAATATTTTGCAATACTTCGGTCCATATATCCACAGTAATAAACATATCATAATTTTTTAAGAGTTATGTTAGAAATCCACGTATGTCTTGTAAAATATTGTATATTTTCTTCTACGATTTTGCGGATTTTTCCATATTTTTATCTTCCAACCCCCTTCGATGCAAAACCAAAGCTTTCTTATTTCACACCTTTCTAAAAAGTTTTTTAAATTCTGCGCAAATTTTCCTATACACTTTGCGTCACCAACATCTTTTCGCTTCACATCTTTATTTCATTATAGAATTGGGTTAGAATCTCATCGACATTTTTTCCGAATATTAATTAGGTTAATTTGCAAATGAAGATGGCAAACGAAACATTTATGAGCCACCCGAATCCCCCACTTTCCATACATGATTTATTCTCCATAAAAATCAGCTTAGATTCACTCAACCTTTAGAATTTGCATGAAACCAAAAGAAATTGACTATAAATTATTCATGGCCTAGGTGAGAAAGTGTTTCAACGGAACACTAAAAAAACTCTGAAGCGTAACGAAATGTCTTGTTCTGTTTTTGTTCTCTTTGTTCGTTCGAATTTAATTAAGACTTTATAGGCTTAGAGATTCTGGGAATTGTGTTCTTTGCTTTTTCGCTGTCGATTTCTCCCAGCTTCTTGTCACAGCTTGTGTGGCCTATATTACTGACTTGGTCCATTAACGACCACAAACAAAGAGATAGATAGACTACTCACCCCTCTGGATGCAAATGATACGCATCGATGAATGACTGATCGGCATCGAGGTGTTCCTTAAACCAATTGACAATAAAGTTTTTCATGCGACGTGAATGCGACTTGATTTCACGTCTTATCCAATAGTAACCGATATTCTGACCACTGTAGGGAAAGCGGGGCGTATTGCGGCACAGGTCGTGACTGAAGCTGCAACGCTGCACGTGCATTGTGGCCAAATGTTCCAATTCGGTGTCCCATTTAATTTGTGGCATGTGCGAGGCTGGCTTGTAGCCGGCCACTTGGCCCGATGCTATGCGGGAACGTGCCAAATTATGCAAAGCCAAAATGAGATTACGACGTCGTTCGCTCATGTGCAGCAGGTGGGGTTGGGAACCGCAGCGGGTGGCAAAGTGTCCGGTATTGTGGCAGGCAACGTGTGGCAGCACTTGTGTGTGGGTGCCGTTGTATAATTCACACAGTGAGGGGTTGCAATAGGGATCAGAGGTCAAAGTAACGTCAGATGTTGATGGTAATGAAGAAGTTGAACTTATTGGCGACTGAGTTGTGGTGGAGGTGGTGGTGGCGTTGAAGGTAAAAGGACCTACTTCTGTCGATGAATCAGGATGTGCTGTTGTGGTCATGATTGTCGAAGTATTCGACATTGGAGCATCAGTTATTAGCTCAATTTTGTTAATATTTGTTGTTGATGTGGTTGTTGTTGCAAGCATGTCCTGGCTTACATTAACTACTGTTGGTCTTGTCGTTGTTTTAATTTTAAATACAGCAGCATTGGCAACTGATGAATTTCCATTTTCCTTTCTACTTCCATCAATATCCGCTTGCCACTTATTTGTAAAATTGGAACTTTCCGTTGCTCCCGCGACAACATCACCAACTTCCTGGGCCACGAAACCCTTTACCGATGCCGAGAATATAATCACAGTTATTATAAATTTCCACATCATTTATTTAATTTTTTACACTTTTGTTTAACTAATTATTTCTTTGTTTGGTTTAAATTGTATTTTTTTCCTTTTATTTTTTGTGTTTTGTTGGAAGCTGTTGTTATTTTTTTTTTTACAAAATGATTTAACAACCCGTTCGAACACCCAAAACGACGAACAACGTTCTTAGATGATGGACAGATACAAACTGTTTTGCATTCATGCAATGCTTTGGGTATTTCTAATCAAAAAATCGATACAGACAGCGGCTAAAACAGAATTTCTCTAGCTATTATCATGCTAATGAAGATATTTGAGAATGATGCTGCTGGCGATTGGCGTCGTGATGGAATAGTTTCTTGAATTGTTGCCATGTTTAGCAACATGTTGCAGGGCAACTTTTTTTCCGATTATAAATATTGATCGTTGGTATTATGTGTGCGTTTTATACCCTCCACCATAGTATGGAGGATATATTAAGTACAGTATACATTTTAGACCTATTCTATGCCGATTCAGTGATGTCCGTCCGTCTGTGGAAATCATCCTAGCTTCCTAACAAAATGATGTAGGTTGATAAAATTTTACTCTGCACTCTGCAGCACTTTTGGTATTGAAAATGGGTCATGTAGGTCCACGTTTTGGTATAGCCCCCATACAACGGCACCTCCCGATATTCGCTATTTTCATGATTTTAGCGTCATTATTCACCGCAATTGTTTCAAATATGATATTTGAAGTTCGTAATGAATACTACAGCATATGACAGAAAATTGTCTGTGCAAGTCCACGTCTTCGTATAACCCCTATAAAACGGTACCTCCCTATTTTCTGTATTTTGATGATTTTAACGACATTATTCACCAGAATTGTTTCAAAGTTGGTATTTGAAGTTCGTAATGGATACTACAGCCTATGACAGAAAATTGTCTGTGCAGGTCCACTTCTGCGTATAGCCCCCACAGAATGGCACCTCCCCATACTCGATATTTTGATGATTTTAGCGACATTATTCACCGGAATTGTTTCAAATTGGTTTTTGAAGTTTGTAATGGATACTTGAATCTATGACGGGAAATTGTCTATGCGGGTCTACGTCTTCGTACAGCGCACATATAACTGTACCTCACTTTATTTGATATTTTGATGATATTAGCAACATTATTCACCAGAATTGTTCCAAATTTGATGATTTTAGCGATATTATTCACCGGCTTACAGCCTATGACAAAAAGTTACTTATGCAGGTTCACGCCTTCGTATAGACACCGTATAGAAAACCGCATTTGAGCGATATTTTTCGACGGATTTTTATTTTTTGAAGATTTTTAAGTTCTTTCCAAACTTAGCTGCTTTTTTAGTAGTTTTCTTTAATTTCGTATAATTTTCCCCCTAAAAAATTACTGAGAGTATTTTTTTGAAATGTTGAAAAAATACCTATAGTCGATGTCCACCACAAGATATTATCGTCGGAGACTTCATTCAATGATCCGCAAACAGGGTGAGATGAAAAAACTGCAATCAACTTCAGACTGCTGTCATTTCTAAGCCACTCATCCGACAGCTGTTAAAATTATTCCAGCGACAGCTCATTATATTGTTTATCAGCGTACAAAAGCATTTGGGTGAGAATTTTCCAGAAAGAAGGTTATTCGTGATGTTATTCAAGCTTGATAGTGTGGAAAACCACAAGTGGCTATCGTTAGAGCACTCCAGCATTTAAATGTGAATAAATCTTTTGTGTCTCGTACCATCGATCGTTACCGTGATACTGGTAGCGTAGTCCAACGTCAAGGAAGTGGATGGAAGAAAACAGCAACATCAGCAGAAATCGTTCGAAAAGTAAAAAAGCGACTTGATCGAAACCCGCTTCGCAGTGGCCGAAAAAATGGCTCGTGAGCTGAACATATCGCAATATTCCATTCGACAAATATTGAAAAATGAGCTCGGGGTAAAGCCATTGAAATTGCAAAAAGTGCAAGAACTTACACCGCAACAGAAAGAAAATAGACTCAAGAGCTAAAGAGTTGCTTCACTTGGCCGAAAGTGGTGAACTGCCGAATTTGGTTTTTTCCGATGAGTAAACATTCGTTGTCCAGCAGTTTGTAAACAAATAAAATGATCGTGTTTACTTGCCAAAGAGGTCAGCTGAAAATTTGCACCTTCGGTTGGCCACCAGAACTCAAGCGCCGGCCAAGGTGATAGTGTGGGCCGTCATTACAGCCGATGGTATCACTCCGCTCGTATTAATGCTCGACCGTGGCATCAGAATAAACGCCTAATGTTATCGCGAAAATATTCTGGAGGGTGTACTCAAGCCTCGGGTACGCAAGGATTTTGGTCGCAGACCTTGGACATTGCAACAGGACTCAGCACCATCGCATTCATCTGCGCCACCCAAGAATGGTTGCAAAATGAGGTTCCTCTCTTCATTTTTAGCGCACAATGGCCACCAAATCTACGGATACCTATCCGTTGCACTATTGTGTCTGGAGAATTTTGGAAAGCATGGTTGGCACTAAAAAATACCAAAGTGTCGATTACCTCAAACAAGCGTTTCGCCGGGAATGAGCCAAAATACCGCAGAGCAACATTCAGGCAGCGTGTGACGGTTTCATTTGTCGTTTGAAGGCCATAATTCGCGCCAAAGGTGACCAATTCGAACAAATCTAAACTTATTCTAAAATTTGATGCTATTTCCGACATTTTTGCGTTTGTTCAATAAAATTAATAAAAAAAAAAAATGTAAAAATTATGTCGTTTGACCGATTTCGGGTTAATTTTGGTGCACAATCGCCAATATCTGTTGTGACCTGCAGTTTGGCACATTCGATCGAATTCAGTCTAGAAGCAAGTACATCAAATTTGGAGAAAATTGGTTTAGATATAGCTATAGCTGCCATATATATGTTTCATCCGATTCGGTGTTAAAGTCCCTCACATGCGTAATATGTACTCCACAAAAATGATATTTGATACCGGGCATCAGATACTGTTCGAAAATGTCTCTACCAAATTTTATGAAGATCGGACCAGATTTGAATATAGCTCCCATATACATCTTTATCCGATTTCAGATTTTTTGTGCACCAAACATGTAATATTAGTCCAAATGTGATGAAATATGGCACATACGACCAAATTAAGTCTAGAAGCAAGTACATCAATTTCGGTTCAGATATAGCTATAGCTGCCATATATATGTTTCATCCGATACGGTGTTAAAGTCCTTCACATGCCTAATATGCACTCCACAACAATGATACTTAATATTTGACACCGGGCATCAGATACTGCTCGAAAATACTTCTTCCAAATTTTATCAAGATCGGCTCAGATTTGAATATAGCTTATATATCTTTATTCGATTTCAAAGTTTTTGTGCACCAAATGGCTAATATAAGCCCAAATGTACTGAAATTTTGGCACATCCGACCGAATATAGCTCCCATTTATATGTTTCATTCGATTTCGGTTTAAAGTCCTTCACACTCGTAATATGCACTCCACAACAATGATATTTGATACCGGGTATCAGATACTGCTCGAAAATACATATGCCAAATTATATCAAGATCGGTTCAGATTTTTATATAGCTTCGATATGCATCTTCATCCGATTTTACCCAAATTTTTGCCCAAATTGAATAGATTTTTTCATATTCTATCGAATTTTACTATTTGGTGAAACTCAGTCCGGTACATATAATCCTTATCGAATTCAAGTCATGCACTATAGAGCACCGTTATTTGGATCACAGTTGGTATGATCTACTTCACATAAATTCCCAATTGTTACGGGAACTCTACTAAATACACATTTTGGTGTAGGGTATCATATAGTCGGTCCCGCCCGACTTTTGATCTTTCCTTCCTGTGGTGGTATTCTCTAAGTCATTATTTGAGTTACCGACAAAAATCGGTAACTTTAAAATCAAAATTTTTGATATAAAAAGAAGTTAAAGTTCTACTACTTTGAAAGTACGACTACTTTGATTTCGTCGCTAGCTTACCGAAAAATTTCGTTAATTACCGAAGTTATATACATTTTAAGTTCACCGACTTTGGTCGGTAACTCAAAAAATGAGTTAGAAAATTCCACTACTGGTCTTGAATTACATTTGTTTGATTTTTTGAACTGAAATTTAACATAAGGGGTTTAAAAATATTTTTATTCAGGGTATTGAAAGTCAAAGTTCTGTTCTGTTATTCGTCTACATATTTAAGTCTTTTGTGGCCTTGCCATCCACAAATCAATCATTTTTTCGAGTTAACAAATCTTTACCCGATCATTATCATGTGAAATCCGGTTATCATACTCAATTTACAATGCAAACTATGTTAATTTTTTACGAACAATTAAAATCTCAAACAATTGTAAAATATTGTAAATAGCGCGGATGTAACGTTTGATATTGAACAAATAAAAGAAACCCTCCATCCTCGAAGCCCCATCCCTGACATTTACATTCATCAAAGCGATTGACATTGGCGATAAGAAAACCACCAATAGACCTAATCATAAATATCTTTTATGGTGATTTCTATGGCGTTGATGATTGATATCTGGATGGTGGAATCCATATTTTTTTGCACACTCATCATTGTTGAGGGAGGAAGTTGCAATGATTTATGGTCAGCGTTTATGCATATTCATTTATTTGCTCAGTCACTCACTCACTCGCTCGCTGGCTGGCTCACATAATCCCTCATTTATTATTGTTTGTTCACAATAAATTAAAATGTGAAAATTATTGTTCAAATACGAAGAAATAGAGGAAGACGAATAAGTAATTGAAGAAATATTACGAAAAAAAAAACTACAATAGTTGAGATTTCATATTATCTCTGAAATAAATATGACTGACTGTTTGGCTGACTGATTTATAAATACGACTAAAAATAAAACCATTTAATATTCATAGTTATTGGATTACATCGATCATTTAAGTGGGTGTCACCGTCCAAATTTAAATATTAACCCGTTTGCTAGTCACTCAGCCAGCCAGTCAGTTGGTTAGTAGAATGTTTTTGCTTTTTTTCTTCTCGAGAGAATCTTCTAAAATCCCCCAACAATAGATCTGAATCATTAGAATGGTGTTGACATATTTTGATTTATTTTTCACAGAAGAAGAAATTCCAAAATATTTCTCAAACAATAGGTGAAAAATATCTATTGTGGGGAAGTTTTGTTAG